TTTTCTTTTTTTCTAATCATGTACTCATTATCTCCCCTTCCTTAGAACAAATTTGTTGATCTAATTTCTCCATGTTAGACTTTTACAATATATTTCACTTTTTGTGTTTAAATGCTTAAATTTTACAATTTTCATCTACTACTTTTCATTGTTATTAATAATTATGTTCTTGTAAATCTTATAAATCATTTTTATATGATAGTGTTGACTACAAGATCTATATGAAGGATCATCTAATATCATATCATCAGATAAGATTGTTTGATGAGGATGACAATTGATATCTAGTGGATCGTTTGAACATATCAATTGATGCTAAGAGTAATTTATTCTTATAGCTCATCTATTGATTAAGGCTAACAAATTGTCTTATTCGAATCAATTACTCTTAATAGCTTGTTTGATTATAATAGTAGTTGACTCAAAGTAGATTGTTTGATGACAATAGCTAGGAGACTATTTGATATAGGTCGATCTCTCCTTATATAATAATGACAACAATTTGAAAATAAACACACACACTCCCTTTTTCTCCCTTTGTCATCATCAAATGTAATATAAAAACACAGATTTTATGAGATGTATACTAGATTATGATTACTTAGACTCTACATAAAAAGACAACCTAAAAATTTATGTTCAATGTCTATTTAATTTTTTAATTTATTGAATCTTTTCTTAGTCAATGATATCAAAAAGTTGATTTTAAATATCTACAAATTTTACAACATAATCTCCAACGAAATAATGACAAATTTCAATATGTTTTATGCGAGATGAGATGTTAACTAATGTTATCACATTTAAGTGGAATTTTATTTAATTTCACTCATATTCAAAAAGTTATTCACAACTACCGTGTTATGTATTCAACTCCTATTATGGACAGAACAACACATGTTTTGTTCCTCTCTGTGTCATGATATTAAATTACTTCCTAAATTGCATTTTTTGATCAAACTTACAACTAACTAGAATAACCCAATAAGAGACACACTTCTACAATGCCATAACCTATCAAGCCTCCATACTTGGTTGGGTTAATAAGCTTACCCTTCCTGTTTTTTAGAAATAACCTTAATTTTCAATTTCAAATTTCTTAAAAAATTTATGACATTATTTTGACTAAGTATAAAATGTAACATTTTTTATATTGTTTTGTTCTTTAAGATAAGGAAGAGATAGTTTAGTCATCGTTAACATTTCAAAATCTGTTGTATTACTAAACAAATTACTAGCATAATTGATTATTAGTCCATTTAAATATGATGTCATCTACGTAAACATGAACTAATATGATGTCTTTCACAATTTTCTTATAAAAATAAATTTATCAACTTGTCTTCTCTCATAATCTTAAGATAATAAGAAATTGTTAAGTCTTTCATATATTTGTTTAGGAGTTTGTTTTAACCTATATAAAAGTTTTTTTATATTTATAAATGTGATTTGAAAATTTGTAATTAAGAAAATTAGATAATTATGATACAAATATCTCTTTATTAACACCTATATTTGAAAAACATTTTAAATTTAAAAGAAAATATATAAAACTATAAATAAATAAGAATATATAAGTGAAAGAAAGATTAGATGCTAAGTCTATAATTTTAACCTTATAAACACGATGGATTTTCATATTTCACTATTTGTTTGATCAAAATACTCATATGTAAAACAAATAAATAGGGATGCCAAAATAGGTTTAGTTCGATGAATTAGCTCAAAAAAATTGAGAAATAAGTCACGCTAAACAAAAAAATTTGTAGCCTAAATTGAACTGGACATATTTTAGTTTAGTTCATGACTTATAATAGACTTTGCTTAGATTAGTCCGTAGACTTATAAGCAAACCTGTTTTATAAAATAATAATATTTTTAAATAAAAATAAAAATAATATTATTTCATTAAAAAATATATATTATTATAAATTAAGTTAATAAATGAGATTCCCCTATTCTAAAAATAAATATCAAAATAAATCTTTAACAACCACTTACTCAAATATTTTATTTTTATGATTAATTATTATTTTAAATAAACAAATTATTAAAATAAGAATGATAATAACAAAAAGTAAATTTTTAATTCTTTTGAGATTGAATTGACATTTTTTTATAATTTATATATTAAATCAGTATATTTAAATAAAAAATAATTTTATCAATGTAATTTTTTATTTAAATATTTTTTAATTAATTATTCTGATATAGATATATTAATATATATTTTTTAATGAGGACAAATTCAAAATAGACCAAATTAACTATTTTGACCGCTGTACATTAATATGAATTATTTTAAAATATCACCCCAACTTAAACTCTTATTTCTTTTCCAACTACACTAAAATGCAATAATTTCCTAACTTAATTTCACAAATTTAATCACTAAAATACTCAAAATATGCTAAAATGCAAATATTTTATAAATAAATATAACTATATTTAAGCTAATATGAGTTTAATTTAATTCAAAATCGTTTCCTACTTAAATGAGGGGAATTTTATCAACATTAAGGTGCTATATTATAATACATTAATTTCTAGAAACATCTTCAATTACTATAAAATAACTATACTATTATAATTTTCTAAAATATTATTTACTACATTTACGTTAATATTGATAAAGTTTAATTCAAATCGTTTTTTATGTAAGTTTAAAAAAAGTAAGTCAATGTTAATATTATATATTATAATTCAATTATTTCTATATAATATATATATATATATATAATTTTATTTATTTTAAAATTTATTCAATCATAATATTCTAATTCGGTTATTAATACTCATGTCATTGATATTTTAATTTAAAAAATATTAATAAAGTATTTGAAAATATTTTTAATAGTTTCTCAAATTAATTTCCAAATATATTAAAATATAAAATTATTTTTAAAATAGTTATAACTTTTATTGATTATAAAAATATTCATCTAATTTTTCTTTTGATTATTTCAAACAAATGAAAAATATATTTCAAAATTTAATATTTTTTCAATATATCAAGTAATTATAAAAATATTTTCCTGGTTTATGTACCAAATTAATAAGTTTCCTTTTTACATGTATAAATATTTTTTTTATTTTTTAATTATTAATATTTAATTATTTATCTTCTATGTTTACTAGTTTATTTATTTATTCATTTGCATTTAATATATTTAAAATTAACATTAATTTTGGGATAATTTTTTTATTCCATACTTCCTTTCTATTATAATATAAAATAATTAAAAGAAATTAAAGAAATAATTACATGAAATTTGAAAGGACAAAACTTACATACTATAATGCAGTAGATGTTGTTTTCAAATTATATTTAACGTTTCACTTTAAAAATATATAATATATTTAATAAATATAAAAGATTAAATTTAATAGAAAATAAAATTATCCATTCTTTATAATTATTTGTAGTACCATGTATAAATTTTGTCTCTTTAAAAAAAATTGAAAAATGATGACAAGATGACTTTTACATACAGACAAGGGATGGGGATGCGAGTTAACGCGTAAAAGAGAATGACGCGGCTTGACAGTCAACAATTCATTTCAACACTCTCCTCTCTTCTCCTTCCATCACTTACAATATTTATTTCTCACTCTTCTATTACACTAATTTAAACATGGGATTTAGTATTTTAATAATGTCATTTACTGTTTTTTTTTTTTTCTGTCACTGGACTGACCATACATGGTATTTGTAACCATGAAAAAGCTCACCCTAGTTTTCAACCTCATAATATAAGCTATCAATAAATAGTCATCATGGATTCAATTTAATTGGATCTTTCTCATCAATCAATGTATTTAATATAGTTCATTCAATACTTCTATTTTTCAATATGAAAGTAAATTAAATGTTCAAACCGTTTAGTTTTTATCAGTTTTTTTATCTAATATTTTATTTTATTTTTCTAAAATAATATTGAACTGTATTGAATAACATTTATTATATAAATTAATACTAGTTTTTATAAATAAGTAATACTAATTTGTATTCATAAGTTCTGGTCCAGTTGATGAAAATATTTATTCAAATTGGTCTACCGAGAAGAGCCATCACTCCAAAATTTTGTAATATATTTCTAATTTTGTTTTTTTAAAATTTAATTATAATTATTATTTTTTATATTTATAATTTTTATTATTCATTTAATTTTCATAAATTATAAAATAAATTAAATAAAAAAATATTTTATATCTTTTATCTTCTCATTTTATTTATTTATTAATAATATATTATTTACTAGATATTTTCGTTCACAACACAAATTTTGGTCTAAAATTGAAAAAAATACTTAGTGTGAATATCATGAATAAATATTTAAATTATTTAATATAAAATATAAATATTCAACAAATAAGTTTTATCCTATTCCTTAGGGTGAGTAGTTGATTAAATCACTAGAGTATTTTGAAAATGAAAGAAAGTAGCATTTTAGGAGCATTCTTAGAATTTAAAAATATTATTTTTGGAACAAACACTTATGAGTTTTTTTATCGTAAAAAAACATTAACTAAAAAATTTAAAAATCATTAATGATTTATTAATTAATTTGGATAAACCTTTGTAATGATTAATTGCAGCAGTAAGAAACAAGAGAAAGGGCGTTAAGTTATGTGGATGGAGTGAGTGAAGTAAACCATGGTTGAGTTAAAGTGAAGTTGGAGCGAGTAGCTAGTTTAGCCATAGTATCAGCATCAGCTTAGCTCACAGCAGCGTACGGACAAGGTGACGCGTGTCTTCTCGTCCCCCGAACAACGCGCTTTCCCTCTCTTAATATCCCAAAATACCCTCCACCGTCCTATTTATCGTTCCCTTCCCTTCCTCCATTTCACTTCCTCCTTCTCTTTACTCACTCCTTCCTCCACAACCGTTCAGTTTCAGCGATAACAAACCCAAACCCGAACGGAACCAAACCACTCTTCACTCTCACTCTTCCCTTCCAAACCACTCTTCACTCTCACTCTTCCCTTTTACCCTTTTCATGGCATCATCTGAGAACGTCGCAAGCATTGAGCCCTGGATGATGCTTCGTCCACCCGTAACCGATTCCTGGCTCGCCGAGTTCTTCACTCGCGACACCGATTCCATCACCAGGGCTCTTCAGAAGTCTCTATCCGCCGCGGCGGTCTTGCCGGAAGACAACAACTTTTTCCCGTTTGTTAACAATTCCGATACCGCCGCCGCTGCAACCACCACCACCACTCCCACCGTCTCCAGCCTCTCAGGCTCTGACCACGACTCAGCTCCCCGCCGCCGCGCGCCCCAGGCCACCGGGAAGATCTCCAAGCGGAAGTCGCGCGCCTCCAAGCGCTCCCAGACCACGTTCATCACGGCAGACCCGGCCAATTTCCGCCAGATGGTGCAGCAGGTCACCGGCGTCCGATTCGGGGCAGCTGCGCCGATTGCGCCTGCTGTTCTAAAACCCGAGCCGCATCGTCCTGCAGGGAATCTTGCAAGGTTCTCCGCCGCCGCAGGGTGTCTGCCGACGCTGGACACGTCTGCCTTCCTGCTGGACCATAATCAGCAGGTGGTGGGCCCTACCTCTGCAGGATCAGGGCCTGCGACCGGGCTTTCTGTGCCCGGGCAACTCCACTTTCCCCCGCCTCTCTCAGGCTTAGATCCTAACGCTGCCTCCTTGGCTTCCTTAGGCTTAGATTTTGACACCTTCTCTAGCTTCCCCACTCTCGAGTCCTGGAAAGTCATGTGAGCAAACAAAAAATTCAGATTCACCGAAAAAGAATTTCACTTTTCTCCTTTTTGCCCCTTCCGCGGGTTAATCAATCGGGCCGGGTAGCTAGCTAGCTAGGATGATGATGATCTTATGTAAATTTGGGAAGGGAATGAATGGATATCAGGATATGCATGTAGTATTTTTTTTTTCTCTCTCTGTAATTTCTGTTACATAGTTCCTCTATTATTGCTATTATTATGGGATGTAATGGAGATATGGTAGCTTTGTTTAGTTTAATTAACCTAATCAATGAAATTCCAAGTTTATGTATGAACAATGTGGTGGCCCTCGACCACATTATGTTGTTGGTGTACATATATTTTTGCTTTGATTTGGTTTGTTTTCGGAAACCACCATAACTAATGTCGGAAATTACTCTTTTTTTGGTTTTATAAAAAAGGGGAATTATTATGAAAGAATATAGATGGATAGGTATGATATGAGACAGCATGGATGGCCAGAGCGTGTACTTGGTGGTTTGGTCTAAGAACTCTGACTTGGTCTTGGAAACTTATGGTATGGGGGCTTCTTGTATTAGGTTTGAACGCAACTTTTTCGTTTTGGGTGGAGGAGTAATTCTCTTGCAATTTCGGTTTTCAGGTGCATTAAAGGGTGCGTTGGACATGGTGGCAAGTGAAAATAAAATCTGTGGTATGTGAGTAGGTGGTCCAGGTTAAAAAGCACAGAGCGCGCTTTTATGGTTTGAGTTTAGATAATGTACCCATATCTTTCACTTTCGTTGAAAGAGAGCCCAGCACACTGTGGGGGCAAGATTCGTTTTTGTTAATTTTAGGGTTTTTCTTCATTTGCATTTTTGGCACCCATGTCCGTTTCTGCTTAATCATTTCCGTAGCTTTCATGTCACCGAATCCTTTAGTCAAAATCAGTTTTCAAAAACCAAAGCTTCTCCCTCAAGATCTGCACTATAAACCAAAATTACATGTATGTTAATTAGTTACCACTTGTGAATGTGTGTGCTTGGTTGTCAATATTGCTCAAACCAAATTTAACTCACTCAAGTTTATCCATTGTCTTCTGTTTTGACTGTTTCTTTTCTCATTTTCTGCAAGAAATTGAGAAGAAGAAACCGAGCAACTTGGGCATCAAGTCACCTTATCTTAATCCAGCAAAAGTCATGAAAAGTGTTGTTAAAACATGAACCTCTCTACTCACTGTACGGTGTTTGACTAGTTGGAATTTTGGGGCGAACATATCCATGTGACCATGTGATCACTTCATCACTTCATTAACACTTAGGCTTATTATTCGGTTCTAAAACATTTACCTGGTAACGTGTTATAATATTTTGCATAGAAATCTAGAACAAGAACGACCAAGTCCGAGAATGCGATGGTGCTTTTTATTTAATTTCATATGACATACAAAAATAATAAGAATCTAATGTACTAGTTGGTATTAAGTAATGGAAAGCATGTAGGGTTTACTCGAGTCAAGGGGATTAATATAAGATTCAAACATCTGTTAGGTAGGAGAATAGTCTGACTTGGGGTCTTGAGGTGTCTCTAAAACTATTTTCTATTACCATTGCAGAGAACTTAGATCATTTCTTCTCTCAAGAATGTCAAGTGTTTCAATCCACTAAGGATATAATTAAGAATGCAAAAATATATTTCACTCCATATACACACGTGTGTGTGTGTGTGTGAAACTTGAAAAAGGGATTAACTGAGGATTTTGGAAGGTAAAGAAAAGAAAGGGTTGAATCAATGCAAACCATGTCCTCGTCTCTCGCTATCTTGCTAAAACAATTCTATTCTCCATTTCAGTCATTGATCAAATGGCATCTTTCTCCACAACGTTCAATTCAGAACGACAAGTTTTCTCAGCAAACTATAATCACGCTCCTCTACTTTACCCAATCAAATTAATGAGGGGTTAATTGTATTTTTATTTCTTTCTAATTCTTCTTCTTCTTTTTCAAATCTTTCATATTGTTTTGACCTGTTTCCTGTTTTGAAATATTTGTAAACAACTTGTTGTTTTCTCTGTTTTTTTACAAATATTTGTAAACGTCATAATTTTGCAGTTAAATAAAAATTAAAAAATTCGCAAACACCTCTTTTATCATATATATTTAACATTTTAAAATATACTAAACATAATATACTCTCTTTTTTTCACATGCCTTACAGGGAACCTACTTAGATATTTAGTGGTTAAAAAGGTGGGTCCTTTCTAAGTATATGAATATGTTTTGATTTCACATCAATGATCTCAGAATTACTAAAAGGGTTTTTAAGATTTTACTTGTGGATTTTTTTTTTTTTAGAGTAACCAAACAAGGATTTTGAATGTAATAAATGTTTTAAATTTGAAGATCATCCAACTAATTATGTAACAAGCGAGTATATCTTTTCGTCATATTAAACATTTAGACTTTTATTTTTGAATGTTGTTCTATATGTTTTAGTCTTACTTCAATGATATGAGAATTAGTAAAAGGGTTGAGCTTGCTCGATGATTAGGGGATTTTATCGAATTAAGTGTCTAGGGTTTTATTTTGGGCTATTTCTTTACTAGGAAAATTAATCAAATAAAAAGATTTCAAATATATCAATTTTTTTTTTTTAATTTTCCTATTTGGTTTTGAAGATGATCTATTTGATCATGCAAAGTGAGTATATCTTCTGGTCAAATTAAACACATCTATGGTTTACTTTTGGATGTTGCACTTTCAATAAGAGTAATTATATTGGATTTTACAATTATTATATATATATATATATATATATATATATATATAATACTATTATTTTATTGCTACATTTATACACTGTTTTACATTATTGATGAAATATTCAATCTTTAAACAAAAATAGAAAACTATATAATCAGTCAAAAATATATTTTTATACAAAATAAAAATTTATATAAATTATCATATACAATATGTCAACTTACGTCCTTTATATGTATTAACTAACTTAATGAATAATTTTACTAAATATTTAATTTAAGAAGTTCTCAAATTTGAACTAAAATTAATTCATCTTCTTTAAAATATTTTTCTTAAAATATTAAAGGTTTTTTTTCAGAAATCTTGCCCTATTTAAATTGTGTTTTCATTTATCATGTTAAAAAGCATTTTTTTCTCGACTTTAATATAAGGTTTTCTTTTTTTTTCTTATCACACACTTAAAATAAAAGAAAAAAAAAACTATAAAGAGTGTTGGTAGTAGTGTATTATAGTTAATTAATTTAATAATTAAATATGTTAACTAACATTTTTGTTAATATTTCTGATTTTGTTACTCTTATTAAATAATGTAAATATGTATATTGTTTTATTGATAAGAATTTTAAACTTCATTAATAATGAGAAGAGATATTTTTGTTTTTGTCTTTAGCGCAGTGTCTTACGTGGATAATTGTGAGAGTGTTATCTTTCAATTAAAAATATTGACTTCTGTCGAAAATAAAAAAGCATAATGAGTGTATATGGTTTTGAATTTTAGAAGGCAAGTAAATTAGTTAGAGGGTGACATAAATAAAGGAGAAGATTTGGCGCAAGGAAGATTAGTGCAGAGATAAATTTGAAAGGGTTGCGAAGGAGTGAGGAAAGAAAAAAGAGATGACGAATGCAATAACGCAAGGATTTGAAAGCAACGTTGGGATGAAAAGGAGATGAAGATGCCACTGTGCCCCACAGCTACCCAACTTTATCACAAAAAAATGTTTTTGGTCCAATGCGAGAGAAGAGAAGATTGGAAAAGGAAAGAAGTAAGTTGTGTATAGGTAAGATACACCCACTCATACGCTATTCCTTTCTTTTTTATCATCTCCCAAATTCTTTCCACTAATCATGCAAATTTTAGAGTCGCATATCAATTGAAGGTTAAAAGCTCTCCTAGGTTATATCACAATCATTTCCCCTTATCTCGCGTCACAACTCACTCCTGTTTGCAATGTTACTTATATTTATCTTCTGTGATTCATACCATATCATCAACAGATTTACCGTCAAAAAAATAATATATATTTTAACATTTAAAAAAATTTATCATATAATTTTTTTTAAAAATATAATAATTAAATTATTATATTTTTAAGTAATTTAAATATTTTCACAATAAAATATTATTTTTTTATTTGGAAAATATTTAAAAAACAATTAATTATTAAAAAAATAAAATAAGGTTGGTTCATCTCTTAAAATAAGATAAACTTGAATAAAAAAATAAACATAAAAATTATATATATATATATATATATATATATATATATATATATATATATAAATAAGTGAAGTAGTAAAAATATTTTGTAAAGAGGAAAAAAAAATATAAACACTATTGATTAAATTTCGGTATATTATTTACCCTCATTAATATAAGGAAAAAATATATTTTTCATCTTATTTATTTTATTTATTTATTTTATGATTATAATTATTCAATGAGATGTTTTCAATTTTATTTTATTTATTTATGTTTATATTATTTTATTTATCTTTATAATGATCCTTTTTATTTATTTAATTAATTTCTAATTACATTATTTTCCCTTACACAATGATTATTTTTATTAATTTATATTTATATTATTTATTTTATCTTTAATTTTTTTCTTAAAGAATAATACAATAGTTCTACAAATGAATATTTTACATTGAAGTTGGATATTTCACTTTGGAAATTCAAATGATAATATATTAATCAATAATAAATAATTTTGGATTACTATATTAATCATGACAAAGACTCAATTATCCAAATTAGTCACTAAAACTAATTCAAATCTTCATAGTATAAAATGAAATAGAATATATTAATGAAAATAAAAAGTTGATAGATATATTATTTTGATTTGATATTATTTTACATGATGATATTTTTTCTTTTCTATTTTACCTTTTTGTATATAATACAACTAAAAATATCGACTTAAATAAATAGTGGCAAATTTTTCAAATTCTTTCTTTGTAGGAATCATATCAACCTTTCTAAAAACTACGTTGAAAGACAAATATCACATTTTTTAATATAGAAATAATATAAAATTGTAAACTCATATATATATATATATATATATATATATATATATATATATTATGTTTACGAATATTTAATATAAAATATTCATATTTTTAAATATAATTAAATTAATAACTATATAAAATATCACAATAACAAGTTTGTGGTTGTCATCAATTGAATCCATTAACTTTATTTGTATGAGTGAAAAAGGTAGGTGGTGTTGTTGCTATGTAGGTGTCTCACATTTTTATTGGAAAATCAAGATAATAACTGTTTTAATACAATGCAAGAAATTAGTTATTGTATAATTAAATATTGATTTTATCAAGAAATAATGAGTATTTAAAAGATTAATTTAATAGAGTTATTTGAATCTTCATAGTCAAACTCTAAATAAAATATGTAAAAAGACTTTAGTTTGTTTATGAAAACTTTATGATAATTAAGTTAATACTAATAAAAATTAAATAATAATATAAAATGTATAAAATAAATAAGAAAATTCAATCTGGGTAAACAAGCTGTATTGTCATGTTTATAAGACTTTCGTAATAGTCTATTTTAAGTCATAAATAATATTGTTTAAAGATATTTATTTTGTGAACAATATATTATAAATCTAATATTTAATGATGTTAATATAAGATGATCCACTTTTATTTTATGTTACATAAGTGAGGTAGAATTGAGGAAGGTACATTAGCACACCAAGTTTAGAGTACGAGATGAAAGAGTTTTATACGAGTCAATTACTAAGTTGTTTCATTTTCATCATAAGTATGACTAAGTTGGTTCAAATGACTTGAATTTTTTTAACAAGTTATGTTTTGTCTAAGTTATAAGTTTATGAGATCATGTTAAGTGAAAGTGAGTTCGATTTAAAGTTAGGGTTAATGTGTTATCACTTTTGAAGAAATTCTAAGATACAAATGATACTTATATTGTCAATGTCGACATTAAGTCATGTTGAAATATAATAACAATAGAGGATGTTGATACACAATGACATTTTGCAATACTAAAATATAACAATATTTTTTATGTCAATTTTAAACAACATTTTGGATATCAATGTATAATAACCTTATGAGATGTTGACTAACGATAACATTTTGGAACGTTGAGGTATAACAACATTATGAGATGTTAAGATCCAACTTAGCTTGGTTTGACCTATGGTCCAAATTAAAAAAATAATAATTGAATTTGACCTATATTTCAAAGTAAACCATATTTTTTGTGTAGACTCGCTCTATGTTAGGCCAATAAGCAAATAAACTAGTTTTAACCTTGTTAAAAAAAATCATAACATATCCATATAAAAAAAATATCCAAAAACTAATAAAAATTTAAAATATATACATGTATATATATGATATATTTCAAAAAAAATATAAGTTATCAATGAAAATAAATTTAATTTTATATATAATGGTTTGATATATAAATTAAATGAGGAGTGATTTACTTCAAGGATAAGAGTTAGAAAGTTACTTTTAATTATTACCATTCATCTTTTACTGTAATATAATGATCTAACATCATAGTTCATCTTAATCATTAGATTACAAAAAAAAAGTGAATGACAAGGATCAAGAATAAATTTATAACCATTACTTTGAATAAATGGATTCATCTTAATTTTATTATATATATATATATATATATATATATATATATACATATATATATATTAAATAATATTCCTTTGTTTTTATTTAAAAAATAATAATTACTTTATAAAACAAGTTGTTATATAAACTTATGATCTATTCCAACCTAAGTTCATTTACATCACTACCCAAACAAGCAAGATTAAAACTGATATTATTTAATTTAGGCTATAAATTTTTTAAATGACCTAATTCATTTTTCAGACATTTTAGGACGACCCATCAAGGCAAACCTAATTTGATACTTATAATACTAAATACATTCTAGGATGAATATTTTGGGATGTTGGTGTATAATGACATTTTGAGATGTCAACAAACAACGATATTTCGGGATACCAACGTATGTCATGGACACCAACATGCTACGAAACTAACATATAACAACATGTTTTAGATACAAATGTACAATAACATTTTAGGATGTCAACATATATATGTTAAGGTACAACTATTTTTTATGACATGTCGGATGTTAATGATTCATTAAGATGTCAATTTGTATATAATAAAGGTACCTTTGATTTGAAAATATTGATAGAAATAGAAATACTTTAACATATTGATTTGAGAAAATTATCCTTTAATTAAAGTAATCTTTTAAATAAATTGTATTCCAAATTCTCAAGATTCACTTTTTAAATATTTCTTTTCACTTATAAGCATCATTTTATAGTGAATCAATTATTCGATTTGTGTCATTTAGGGAATTAATTTGTCTTTCATTTGATCTCGACAAACCTCTTTGACCTTCGGCTAAACTAAGTCATCCTTTGAAAGTGACCTTCTTTAAGTAGGGTGTTATATTTTTGAGTTGTTCATCTTTTGATTACTTCTTCTTGAATCTAACTTGTTTCAAGTACCTCATTTATTAAGTCAAGTTTGACTCTTAAATTTTCATCATTACAAAGTGTTCTAACAATCTTGTCTTGATAAATATTCTAGGATATCTCGAAGTTTGTAACACTCTTTGCTTAAGTGACCATAATTTTGTTATCAAGCATAATGTTTGTGTTCGTTGTTCCATTGTATTGTTCCATTTTTAGAGTCTTCCAATGTGTGGAAAAAGTATCATCCTTAATGTTGGGCACAAAATGTTATCATACTTAACATTTGACTTCATCTATGTGATATGTATGTTTTTTTTCTTTAATTAGACTAGTGCCCTGTAGTAGGCTCCTAGTGTGGAGTGGTATGGGGTTCCTTTATGTGCACAAAGGAGGTTTGTCTCTACAATTATGCGGTTAACTTCTTGATGTGAACCTTCAATTTTTTTCTTTCTTGAGTGCTTCGAGCTCACCGTGATGCCTTTTCTCCATGAGGTTTAAGTGTTATGCTTTTTCTTTGTAATTAAGTAAGGCTAGCATGAATGTTGTCCTCATACTTCAACTAGATTATATAGTCTTTGCACTTATGGTGTTAGCTTAATTATGAGAACCTTTATTTCTTTCTAGAGTGCCTCGAGCTCATCCTAGTGCCTTTTCTCAACAAGGTCCAAATCCTTATAGTTTTTCCTTTGTAACTAGTAATGCTAGTATGAATGTTGTCTTCATGTACTTCAACAAGGTTTGTTTAATCTCCTCCATGTGGACTTTCAAAAATTTTATGAAAGTGTTTACATTCATCCCAATAGTTGATGATCTAGTTTGGTTGTGGATTTGAACCATAAGATGTGGCATGAGAAACATTTATCAGGATTCCCCACAATTAGTACTAAGTGTTCCTAAATAGAAATAATAGATCTTAATACCGATGCTCAAATAGAGTGGTTGATCAACAACAACTTTTGAGCCTTTAGTATCGAGCTCTAAACAAAGTAAAATAAAAAATAAAAAATCATCCACCTACGAAGACTCTTTAATAAATAAGAAAGTATCAATGTGAAAAAAATAACAACGTAATAATATCTAAAATAGAGATTGAGAATTTAACCAATGTATAACAATTTAACGAATATATTTTAAATAATAAATAATATTACTTTAAGATATTAATTTATAAATATGGAGTATTTTCACATTATATATTTTATTAAATAATTGATTATTTTGCTTGTTATTAATATTGAATGTTATTTAATACCAGTTTTAATGACAAAAAATCAAAATTAAAGGAGTTTTACATTTGAAGAGATAAAATAGCGGGTATATATATATATATATATATATATATATATATATATATATATTATTATCATCATCATCAGTTATTTATATCAATTCTAAGAAATTAAATGTAGATATCATAATTTTGTATTATTGAAACCAAAATTCTATACTAATTTAAAAAACACTTATTGGATAATTAATCTAAAAAGTATTTGATAGATTAGAAATTTTGTAACCAATTTAGAATATTAATAATTTTGTATTTTCCGAAACTAAAAGTCTAAATTAATTGTACTAAAATTAAAGAAGAAAATAGTTTGTAAATTAATTTTAAGTACAATTGATTTATGAAGTGAATACTTTCAATATCAATTGTTTTAGGATTATTGAATAAAGTCTTTTTTTTATACTCATAAGACACAATCATATATTTTTATGATGATTAAGAAACTCATTTCAAAATTGAAAGTGTTTGTGTGCCTAGAAGTGAGAATTCTTTGAAGTCCATTATCCCTCTTTATGAACTCACTTTTATTCTTTTAAATAGATACATGCTCACAATTTACATTTTTTAATAAAATTGAGGATAATTTGTTCATATTTATATTCGAAAATATTATCAACCGGTTACATTATAAAGCATGATTTTTCTATTCAATTTTGATAAATCTAACCTTAAAATACTACGATTTCAAAGTTTCGATTAATGCAAACAAATATTAATTAACCATATGTAAAGATAGAATTTATTGCACCGTACATGCATCATGTTTTGAATATTTGTTACATGGTTAAATAATCTATTTTGAATTTTTTTATTTAAGGACAAACTTTGCATATATTTGTTTAGTATTTATTTAAAAAAAAAGTATAAATATACTTGAATTTTTTACTCTTCTATAAATATTTAAAGACAAATAATATGAACAAGTTAATTTGAAGCATCAAAAGGTGCACTTGATAGATGAAAAATATGTTGTCTATTTGTGACAATGTTGTCTATTTTTTGCAAAGCTACCAAAGTGATAGAAGTTTAAAAAGGAAGCATAATTATTACCAAAGACGAATAAGTTGCATGGTTATAAAAAAAGAAGTTAGTTAAGTGAGAAGTATTAAATGTTATCACTTGATACAAATGAAACATTAAATGCAAGTCTATTAAAGTTTTTCATGTTAACTAAAATCAATCAAAAGAAATAAGAAGCTATATTGTAATGTCTATTCTTTTAAAAAAAATTACTAAGATAATAACTACTTTTTAAAATCAAATATAAATAAAAAAAGGAAAAAAATAATAACTTAGTCGTTGAGTTAATATAATTTTTATGATTATACTCTTACCATAAATCTTCTCTTTTTTTGTTTTTGTTTTTTATAAATAACTCTCTACATTATATTAAGAGAGTTATATAATTTTGATGAACTTAAATATTGTATTCATCTTATAAGAAGATAGATTTAAATCTAGAATGAAGTATCATAAAAATATTTATTCTTTATCCATCTTTGTTGGGTAATATTGTATTCATCTTGTAAGACCATAAATTTAACCCTAAAACAAAATATCATACATACATTTATTCTTTATGCATCTTTATTGGGTGCTAACACACGAATGACTTGCTTATTTAGGCATTTTTATAAAGTTTGAAAAAACTTATAAAAATAAATACGTGTTTAGATGACTTAGAAAAGCTTGTAAAAGAATACTCATATAATAACTTAGAAATAGTAAAAAAAAAACTCATATTTTAAAGTTAAAACTAAAACTTAAACATAATGTTTAATATAATTAATTAATATAAAAATATTCTTGTTAGTTTATGTTTTTTTAACTAAAGTAAAAAAAAAGTGACCTTTTAATTAAGAACTAAATATAGTCTTTAATAAATTACTTTATTATTACTTTAAAGTAAAAAATCTATCTCCCTCTTTTTCTTTCTTCGGTATAGCCTATTCTTATAGTGACCTTTTAGTTTACTTAATATTTTTCTTGTTAATTATTTTTTAACAACTTTCATTTTATTAAGTTCATTATTATATTTGTATAATAAATATTGGTAGATCAAGTTTGATCAGGTTGACATATCAATATCAATATTATAATCTATTGTGAATTTTGGATGTTTTTAAATACAAGATTATTTATGAAATAATCGTATATGCTTGGATGGATTAACTCCTAATCTTAAGTTTTAGAGATTAGAATAGTGACTAGTAGACTTATAAAAGAGAAAAAAATAAAATTATATTTTTATAAATTAATTTTATTTTTCATAGAAAATTTTATTTAGAAAAAAATTATCCGAGTTAAACTAATTTATTAATTACATCTTACATATTGTCATATAATTTTGATGGAGCAAGTGTTGTATGAAAAGCATTAATCATGTAAGCAAAATGAATTCTGCAAAAGAGCATATATATATATATATATATATATATATATATATATATCCCAACCAAACAACCACATTCTTGAAAGGCTGGTGAAGTTTTTCAAACACAGAAACATTGACTATTAATCAATCAAACAAATAATGGTTGTTGAAAGTAATAGAAGGTGGGCTGTACTTGATGGTACAGTGGCGTTGTCTTTTGTACTTGACTCCCGCAACGGTGACTCACCCTCACAATCGCCATTCACACCATGACACGCCCACACACAAAACTCAACGTGGATCCATGCATCATGCATCTCTCACCGTCCACTTCACTCCTATCATCAATGGGGTCAATGGACGGTGCTGCTTCATTCATTTCAAACAGTGACACACAATGTGCCCCTGTTTGTTTCCTCGCCAAATTCGTACACACCATGGGCCACACAAAACGAAACAGCCCACGGTTTAATCAAACACTCCCTTACGTTACCACTTTCAATTCTCTTCCAATTTTTCTCACTAATTATCTCTCTTTTAATCATGTATGATTTTTTTTTATGATTAATATGATCCAATTTAACAAGTAACAGAAATATTATTTTTTTAAACTTTCTGGTCGAATTATATTATTTTTAATAAAAATAATTAATAGAAAAAATTGTTTTTGTATAAGACAAGACATAGAAGTAAAGGGAGCTTTTTTTTTAATATTCTTTTTTCAAATGGGAGATTCAACGTATTCACAATTTTTGATACAAGACTACGAATTCAAATCTCCTTCCGCATGACATAGCTTCTGGAAGCTCTTGTCTTTTTTTCTTTTTTATTACACTTCTAGATTCTTTAAAGTTGAATTTGATATTTCCAAAAGCAAACAAATAAAGGGTATGTATGAGAGAGAAGAGTGAACCTAACTAGATGATTAGTTTGTATTCATTTCAAGGTCAATAGTATACTTTAGTTAAATCTCTAAAAGCATGTTGAATAAATTAAATAAAAAGCTAATTAGATTAAGATAACAAAAACTATCATACTTAATGACAAAATATGTTTCATAAAGTAGGAATTTAGATGAATCAACAAGCAATATCTAATAGCAACTTGCATAGGTTAATTAGCAAAAATGAATTTATGCTATTATATAGATATATGGAGAGAGAGAGAGAGAGAGAGAGAGAGAGAGAGAGAGAGAGAGAATAATGGAAGAGAGTGTCACTTGTTGACCAAAGTAGTTGTAGAATTGTAAGGTTGGAATGGTTGACGTGTCTTTGTGACTTTTAAGGGTCATTGTCAAATGTAAGTGTCTGGGTAAGTTGAACACATCTTTTGTTTTGTCTCTTCATAAATGGTGTGTGACAGGTGTGCCCTCATGTCACCTTCTCATCCTCTTACCTTCGTGACCTCATGCTTCCTTCATCATTTCGTAAGGACACAAATATTATGAATCAACTTTAGGACATTTCAGGATTGCGGTAATAGATGTTTTTTTAATGTTTTCAGAGTAGAGATTAAAATATTATGACTAACTAGTAGAGTGTATGTACGACAACAAATGTACCAGTTTCATGGCATTAAATACCAAAAATATTTAAGTTCGTGTTTTATTGTTATTAAATATGGAGTATTAAAAACCTGTATAATTTATGGCATTAAATATGAAACTATTAAATATAGAGAAAATATTTAATGCCATATATTATAGTATTGTATTGTTAATAAAGATTAACTTATCACATACAAAGTATAATTCAATGGGCTTTAAAAATGTAAATATTGAGTACAGAATGAAATATTTAATTAAAAATGACAGTGGTAAATACAAAATATAATTTAAAGGGAATCAAATAAGAAAAATATTAATTACATGTAGAATAAAGTAAGTTAATATGTCATGTTAAATTTTAGTGAATAGTTAATTTGATTCTTTAAAGTGTATAAAATTTTTAATTCAATCATAAAATTCAAATAAACTAAAATAAATTCCTTAAAAATAAAATTACATATATCTTTCATAATTATTTTTATTTCAAATAAATTCTTATATATGTTATTATTAAAAATATTTAATTCTTTCTTATTATAATAAATATATAATATAATTATTAATATTTTCATTATTATCTTTATTATTATTACTATCGCTATATTATAATTGTTATAACAAAATCATAACTATTATTATCATTATTATCATCCTCACTATATATTATTAAGATCTTAACATATTATTATTTAATTCTTATTATAATACATGATAAAAAAAGAAAAGTTATTTTAATCTTCTTTTTTATCACATAGATATTATTAAAATACAATTTAATTCTTGTAAATAGTCTTTTTAAACGTTTAACTCTCGTAAGAAAATAAAAGAGGATATTACAACTATAAACATCTTAAATATACCAATATAAGGTTAAATTTAGACTTCTAGTAAATTACTTAAAAGTAAGACACCAGTTCAAAGAAGGATTCTTAAATAATTGTTTTTGTAAATATTTTTGAGTGCTTATAAAAAATCTTTCAAAAGGTAGTAAGTGTATGGCATAAAATATTTTCTTCCATGATATTTGAAGTGGTTAGAATCATAATATATTAATTGGCATTTTCTCTAACTAGATTTTTTGATAGGCTAATACATGTTGTTTTTCTATTTTAGTTTATAGGCTCGGATTTATATGTTGTAAAGATTATTTGCTTTTCTCTATGTTTTCTGCTTATAACATATCTTTTGACTATTCTTGGTCAAACATATTGTATTTAATGGTTGATAATAAACTTTTTTTTTTTCATAAAATGTTGAAAAGACAACATAGGACACACGAAAATTAATATTAAATAATGTTTCATTGTAATAAATATGCTTAATACTACTTAAACCATTATAATTAAGTATAATACTTAATACACACTTGGACAATTATCATCTAAATATAGTATATGAATTGTTTAATTCAATGCAAATCCAAAGACGAAAATGAAAAATTCAATAATTTTCTACTTATTTTTCTCTACGATCAATACACTTCTTCCAACACTATGATATTATCACCTATAATAAGTAGAACCAAGTAATTTGATAACTTGTCCCTTAATACACTTTGTTTTAGTGATGAGCTTGGTTTCAAATTCAGAACCGAACAATCCAAAATAAAATCGAAATTTGATCTAAAAAATCCAAAATCAAACAAAACTGATTTTTCTTTAAATTTTTTTATCGAAAAATTATAAAATTAATCGGTTAGATTTGATTTTTGTTTGACAGTTATCAAGCAGAATCAAATTGAACCATAATTATAATATAAGATGGTATTTTTTATAAGTCAGTCCATTGATTTTTTATAATTTAAATATATATTATTATTTTAAAATTAAACGTGAAAACAAAATAAAACTATTAATATCACAATTAGTTATAGATAACGTTTTGATAAAATATTTTTTTATTAAACAATTATTTTATTATAATATAATTAATAATTTTATAATAAGAAAAAACAAAAAAATTGTGAAAACTAGTATGTAAATATTGTTTTTTTTTAATGAAATCCAAACTAAACCGAATTATATTTAAATTTTATATTTGATTGAGATGATTTTTTTAAGTATAAAATCGAATCAAATCATAAAGTGAACACCTAGTTCCAAGTTACACTAATAAAAAAAAAAAAAAAAGAACTGTCAAAACTAAATGTCATTAGATAGTGGTCCAATTTATGTTTCATGTAAGTTATGTATTAGTGCTTGTGTCAAGAAACAAGAATTCAAATGATAAAAATGTTCACCATCTTGACTTAATAATTAGTGTACTAGCTTGAAATATTACTAATATAAGCACCCTAACTCAAATATTGCTAACAACATGGATTTTGATCAACACATTCTACAGTTAGAAGCATTCATTAGAATAAAAACAATGATTAATATTATACGCAACTTTTTCATGAAAAATCTTAACATATTTACTTCGAAAAGGGTTAACTTAAAGTTATGTCCCCAGAGAATTATTTTATGTAACCATCACTTGATTACTTTTATAATGTTTAATATTTCTCGTTTACTTATAAAGGTGGAGAAACTTCGTTGTCTTTATTTTTCAGTAGTTACTTACTTAAGTTGCATTATCTCAAGCTCTCAAATTTTATTTTGAACATTTGTAAGGTACTGAGAGCAACAAGGTGATGTCTAACTCCATGGATCGGAGAAACAATTTTAAATTAATTATTGAATACCTAAGAGAAAAACAAATTAAAAATTATTGATGCAGCTTCACATGCAAGAATATGATATAAGCATATTAAAGCTATAATAATCTGAATTAAATAAGTTTGTTTAATTTAATATAGATTTTGAATTAAAATGAATCAATACACATAACTGGTTTGATTTAGATAACTTGTGTGACATTTTATTACAAAATTATTATCAAAATTTTTGAAAATGTTAAACATTTTATAATAAAAAATCATCAAATAAAAATTATATTGTGATTTTCTTTTATATAGTTTATGTTCTATTTATAATTTTAAAATTTATAAATAAATTATACAAATATTATAATATTTTAATAAGTATACATGACTATAAGTAAAATATAAAATAAATATAATCAACTTTTTTTATTTTGTTATTGAACATCCAAATCAATTTGGGCTTGATTGTGTTTCCGTTAAATTTAATATTACCCAAATCAATTATATGTTAACATAAAGAATTTTTATTTTCTCTGCAATGAGTATTAGAATTAGAAACTTGATACTACAACTTAATTCAACAAGTTTTGAAAAGAAAAAAATATATAATTTTTTTAAAATAAAAAAGACAGTAACGGTAACTATATTTTCAAGAATGAATGAATATATTATTATGTTACGAGGATTTAGGGTTGCAAGGTTCGAGGCATTATATGTTCAAAGTCTTCCGACATAAGTTGGCTAACAAGTAACAAATTCAAAATTCGCATACATTGATGCTTTGCATTGTCTGTGGAAAACTAATGTTTATGCACCACAAAATCAAAGGGAGAAAAGTTTTAAGAATCAAGTTCAATGTTGAATAAGGGGCAACTTTCTACGTCATGATTAATCACTTTGCTCCGTTGAAGTTATATATAGTTAAGGTAAAATATATATAACTTCTATTTCAACTAAATAATGCATTTAAAACAAACATGACAAAATCATTATCTCACATGAAACAAGTATTGGAAAAAATTTCGGTACTAAATTCAACACATTTTCCCTGTATGCATATCAAAATCATTACCCTGAATTTATATCAATCGAAAAAGTACAAGAATTTACATGACCAATATTTGGAATGCAAGTAGTATAAAAAATGTTGCTAACATTTTCTAATATATTAATAAAATAAAAATAATTCTGAACTGTTTTCTTTTTAAGTAATTCTAAACTCTCTTTATGATATTCTCTTGTTTCTTTTGTACGAGAAGTAATGTTTTATATTTTTAAGACTAATTCATTTTTTTTTATTTAAACTTTTCTGCAAAGTAGTAAAAAATAGTGTAGAAAGATTAAAATATTTGATCACTCACAGAACAGTGGCAAAAAGGGACGTGTTTGAGGAAAAGCTAAGGAAAGTGTAGGCTAATTCTTTAGGTTTAGGGTCTTTTCGATTGGTGAAACTTGCAAGCAAAACAAAACACTTTTTTTTTCAAATGCTTTATTACTTGAGAAATTAAATTAAATCACGATTCTTTCAAATTTTTTTATGTATCTTTATGTGATTTTTAATAGGAAAAAAAATGCTTATATAAGAACAGTAATTAGCGTGGTTTATCTTTGTTATACAAATTAAACGTGATTAGTGAAAGTGTTGGAAAATCACTTAATTGCAGCTAGTTAAAATAATAGGGACTTTGGTTATACCAGTTATGAGCCCAATAACCTTAAACAAGGCCCACAATCAAGCCCAAATTGCTGATCCGTCCAAATCAATACGATGTCAAAGCTGTTGTTATGAACATCTACACTCAAATTGCTACCTCTTTTTGGCATATATAAAATAAAATAAAATTATTTTTTTAAATTTTAATAATCTAAAATGATAATGCATCATAATTATTAAAAAATATAATTAAACTTTATTTTTTAAAATAAATAGATTATATATATAATCAAATTACGCTGCTGTAAATTTTTACTACCAGATGTTATATTATTTAATATCTTTTAACTGATTTTTTTTAATTGGCACATTTAATTAAAATTTCATTTAACATAAATTGTATATAAAAAATACAAAAAAAAGGACATACAACCCACACTATTCTTTTTATACCTCCAAATTTCTTCAAATTCTAATTTAGTTCAAAATTTATTATAAATAATAAAAATATCATTATAAATTCACTTTTTAGATTTTTTTTTCAAGAATGTCTTCATCTAAAATTTTGTACATTATTTTACATATTTTTGAATATATATATATATATATATATATATATATATATATATATATATATATATATATATATATTCCAAAATGTCTTTTATCAATTTTCTGAAGCGGTTATTCAAAAAAAAAATTTGACCAATTTCAAATGGTATTTTTATTTGTCCATAACAAACGATAGGCTAATAAATTAAAGGGCAACTCCTTTTTTTTTTTTCATTTCTGACAAGAAACCTAATATTAGGTTAAAATGGGCCACTGGGCCACTGATGGGCCTTTGTTACACTTTCAACTTCTTGGGAAATAAAGCAAAGTATTATGAACAGACATAAAATGAAAGTTGCTTCTCGTCTTAAAAAAAATAAATGAAATGATAGTCGCACGGTCTCACGTTCTTATTAAAAAACTCATTTCCAATTTTACTTCAATAGTATAAATGTTAAACAATTTTAAATAATTCATCACTATTAATATTTTTCTATTTAAATTTATACATTATAATGTTTATTAATTAAAATTTAATTAATTCATATTTTGTATGAAAACTGAATTCACTAATTAATTAATTAATTTTTCTATGAAAATTAATTACTTTAAATAATAATTCATAAATATTTTAATTTAAAAATAATATAAAACATATAATATTTAAATTAATGTATAATAATGAAAATTAAATAGCATTAGAAAACATGTAATATAAAATTAATTTTCATTATTCTTTTTCTCTCTTTCAAATATATATCAAATATGTTTGTCCAAAACTTTTATCTTGAATCACTGATTTTATTTTATTTGAAAGTTTACATATCTAAAATTGAGACGAAGACTTAAAAGTACATAATAATTGAAATATTATTTTCTCGTAACATCATAAAATATAATTTTGATAAATGTATTATTACGTCCTTAATAATCATATTATACAATGCTACATGCAGAAATTATATTTTTCATTGTGTGAGCATCCAAAAAATGTATAAGATCACCTACAATTACGAATCGAGATTGGATGATGAATGCATGAAGGGAACAATAATAAAATTTAAATTTTAATTGTAATTTTAAGTAATAATTTAGTTCTCTTTAAGAACTTTTGATTCTTATATTTAAATTTTCTTATTTAAAGTGACAATTTTTTCTTGACATATTAATTTAGTTTGTCATCCTTGTCTTATCCATCTAAATTGTGATATTTTGTTCATTTCTTATCTTTTGTTCACATTTTCTATTTCTCTTTTTTGTTTTTGTTATTTCTAATATTGAAAATATTTGGAAACGATTATATATGTCAATTTCATGTTAGATTATTCATTGTTAGAGGACTTCAAATGCACATTTAATATCTTTTTCATTGACTCTTGCTGTTAAGCAAATAATATTTTTTTTCCTTGTAAAATTGAAATAATTTTCACAAATGTGTCAATATGCGAACAACATTACACTTTTACAAATGTGATAAACCTCTTCTTTGTGTTGCATCTAACCTCATTATGATTGCCAATGACCTTCACAATTCTTATAAAAAAATTTCTTTGTATATGAAACCTTCTTAAAAATAGAGTATCTATGGACACAAGATTTTCAAAAAAATAGTCATTAAACAATCAATGATAACCTTCTTCACAATTTCAACGAATCACCTTTTTTTGTCTAACCTACCTGTATTGTCGACTTATTGTTGATACTCAAATATTAACCTCATAATTTTTCAGCATTATTGACTGAGTTCTTCATTATTGACTTGATCCAATAATGTGTCTAAATGGATGTTTTCAAAATATTCATCTTATAGATAATTGAAGTGTTAGAAGTCCAATAATAGTATTATAATATGTTAGAATAAGATGTGAGGCATTGCATAATTATATTTAAATTCAGAATGGCTAGTTTTCACAATTACTACATTTAATTTTCATAATAGCTAAAATTAATTTCATAACAACTAACACATTTAAAATCCTTAATTTTGCCTAATATCATCATTATATTTTGTGATCTTTGCATTACTTTTGTTCTTAAAAAAAAAATACAAATAAAATCAATAAGTAATAACACGATCATTTTGGACTTGTTGTCTTGCCATGAACAACTCGGACAATTCGACTTGATCACAAACAATTATTTAAACGAGTATTGGATAAGTCACATTTGCTCCTGGGGCAAGTGGGAGGTTTAACTGTGAAGATACTTTTATGTTTAAGTCGGTAAGAAGTATTTTTCTCTCAAATTGATAGATGTGTAAAAATGATATAATGATATAATTTATAAACTTCTTACCAATGACATGTTAAGTAAAAAAGACACTTGTTTAATTCTAATAATATATCTTAATTGTGCTATCAACCATTGATTATCATATTAATAACCATTTAAGAGGTGTTAATTCAAGAGAATATTTCAATTATGAAATTTGAACAAGTACACTTTTCAAATATATTAAATGTATACTTTACGAGGATTTCATATTCAAAATGTATTTTTTTTTTACTTCTTTAACTCAATCAATAAATCCAACTTTGTTCTTTTTTTTTTCATTTATTGCACTTTCTACGTCAAATAGGTCAATATGAAGACTAACACTTGGAATGACTTTTCCTTTACTCTTTCTTTTGATTATATTTTTATCTTATGATTTTCAGACAAATATTGGTGATGTTGTATTTTATTGTTCAACTTCAATGGGTGTCTTTGGGATTAAAGGATGGTGAGTATGACCTAAAGCAAAAACCTTGCATTTTTTTTGACAGTTCATCCACAAATGTTAAATATCATTTTGTTTTATCTCTTACCAACCACCAAACATATTTATATTCAAAAAAATTTCTTTTTTGAATATTTTATAAAAATTATTATGGGTGAGTACATAACATCATCATAGACTTAACCATTTTTTCTTTGATTAACAACTTATTTGTAATATACATTAAATTTTTAAATTACTAGGTAAAGTTGATTTTATTGAGATTTTAATTGACTGACTATTCTTTTTATGACACTACTATATAATTATCGTTATTATTGTATATTTCTTTAATTCGCTTTTTGAATTATAATTATATTTTATAATATTGAAAATACTACATGAAGACATATTTTCACTATGAAAGAGGAATGATGCTCTTGGATAAATATAAGAAATGACAGCGGATAAATATAATTTTATGAATTTAAAGAATTTTCATTTGTAAACGATTATTGTTTTATAATAAATTATAATTATATTGATAATTAAATTAATTAAAATCCATAACTCACTAAAATAAAATAAAAGCAAATATAGAAAAAAAAATTTAAATGGAAAACATGTGAGAATTTTTTTACACATATTTAGTTTTTTATAATGTCAAAATTTTATTATCATTGGTAACAATATTTAAATTTTTATTGCAACGACACACTTAACGGTTAAACATCCACATTCGAGTTATTTTTACCATCAATCCAACGATTCAATTTTTAATTAAGATGAACTTAATCATGTAGGGTGCATTATAATACGTCATCTTCATTATCCTTTCTACAAAGTTTTTCTTCCTTTCTCCTTCTCCCTTCATCCCCTCTTTCCCTTCTCCGCTTCACCATTCCCCCTTCTCTTCCTTTAAGCCTGACAATTAGTGAACCAAGTTTGGTTATTTAAAAAACGATTTGATCTTATTTTAAAATGTATAATCAAAAATATATTTGATATTATTCTAAATTATGTATTCCAGAACACCACTTAAATGATCTTTGGATCATTTAAGTTGTTGTAGATTTTAGCTAATCTTTTCACCCTTCTTTAGGCCTAGAGATTTCCACCATTAATCATCAAAAGAAATTAATCTTCAGTTGAATCTTTATTTTTTATCTGAAAAAACTATTAAAGTATCATTTCTATTCAAAATTTTCGTAAATTAAGTTGATTAAGTTATTTTCAACTTTCTACCCAAAACTCGACATAAAAAATATCAAACTTTAGCCTCGATGTAAAAAGTTAACTCTTTAAAACCAAAACTTAACGCCTACAAAAACCCTTCAAAAAAAAATTTCCAATTTCGACTAAATATTATACTACCAAACTTTTAAAATTATTTTATATTCTAAATTCATCATAAATCCTACAAATATTTGGATTAGAAAAATGAAAATTAGAATATTTTTGGTAAAAGAAAGCAGTGGAATGGTCAAATTTGCTCAATTTAAAACAGAAAAACTTAAAAATCTAAGAAACCAAAATATAACATAGACCAAAACATAGGGATAAAAAAACACAAACCAAAAAAAAAAAAAAAAAACAAGAAACTCTGGTATGACCATACAAAAATTCTACATGCGAGTTGATACAAGATCTAGTCTTCATGTTCATGTAAATTACCAAAACATTTAAAAGACTTAAATACAGCTGATGCAGCTTCCTTGCAAGCTCTGTCCGAAGAATGATCAACGGACATAAAACTGATTAATATTGCCAACTACTATGCAATACTGCAGTATAGTGCACGCTCTTCCAAGCTATAAAATAAAAAGATCGAAAGTACAAAGTCAACATTATATATCTATAATAAATCTAAGATTTTGTTATTATAAAGGTACATAATTCGATTACAGAAACGTTTTTGTTTGTATTACAGATCGAATCATCCAGAGGAGATGTTACTATTCTCTTTAGTGTCCTAATTATTCTTTGTTGAAGGTGATGAACTCTTGGTAATGAGTCACTTTATAATGTCCTAGGGTCGTTTGGCGAACACTCTGTTTTCACTTTTAATTACAGAAACACCATTTTTTTTTTCATTTTTTTTACTGCTTTAAAAAATTTGTATAGGAAACTTTGCAACTGATGCAGCTATTCTTAGGAAATATCTTAGGAATTTCTTCTTGCGTCACAGATTCGTGCATACTTGAATTTCTAAGGTCAAAAGGCTAGTTACTTAAAATTAGGTCTTCTGCATTCAAAGAACATAAAGCTTACCTATTTTGGAAGAACCTCTTTGTGTGCCTTAAATGAGAGAATAACATTCCACACCAAAGCAATAACATTAGCAGCAAGGACCTGAAATTATGTCCATATATTGTAACCTCAAGAATAACATTAAAAAAACGGAGAAGCAAAGCTAAGAACATTGAAGAAAGCATTGGATTCTATGGTCAATGAATACTATCAACAACAAACAAGATGGTAGGGTAAATTGGAAAATATCCATCTGAAATGTCAGCAAGCATAACCAAAGATAGCTCCATTTCATTGATTTCATGCATTTGAGAACTTCTCAATAAAATTAATTCAAGATCAAGATTAATTTTGAGTAAAGAGTATATGCGTATGAATGTAAAAATGTTTGCTTTAATAAATAGATAATTAACTGAGAACCACTGTGATGCCTTGTCAACCGACTAAGAAAAAGAAAAACATCTCATTTTCACGTGATAACACTTGAAAACAAGGGTCCAAAAGGATGCATCCCAGAGATCCAAACATGTTGTAAGATGAAGGAAATGTTTACAAAAAGTTCCTTCATTATGTTCATTTTTCTATTGTTGTTCAGCTAAAAAAGGATTAGAAGGTAGTATGAGAGAGTATCCATTAACGGATCTTTAGAAAATTCTTCCAAGAACTATGAAATTCCATTAGGAGCAATTGACTAAAATAAAATCCTGGTGCGTTCAAATGAATTTCAAGAAAAAAAAAATTAAGCATTGATCAAGTCAAATGAAACATTGATCTTCAATATTAACTTATCAGAATGCTGAACAGATTTATGATCAAGTCAAATATGTCCAGTGTGCATGAGTATGCCAGTCTAACCTGAAATTGTTGTGGAACAAATCTAAAGTTCAGAAATTGAAAAGGTATCCAGAGTTTCCAGTTCGCTAAAACTGCAGAAAACCACTCCTGCAAAAAGAAATCTGTGGATGAATATACACCAGTAAACATGACAACAGTGAAATAACACTCTTTGAACACATTTTAACAAAAGCATACAAGTTAAACAACACTGTTTACATTACCTGTTGAAGCTTGGGTACAGCTTGTGAAGGCTTTCCCTCAAGGGTCACTAATGTAGCTAGGAACACTCCGATGAATATGGGAGAAAACAAGAACTGTGAAAATATTTCATAGCATTCAAAATTAAATTATCACACAAGCACACAAAAATAATAAGTGATACAGAGAGGTGATAGACAGTGTATTGGAGGACCAATAGAAGTATTCCACCTGATCAAGTACAAGTCGCAAAAGTGCACCTGATGCTCCAGGAAGTGTAACCAATTTACTCAGATACAAATACCTACAAATTCAAAGCAAATGTCAGGAAAGACAATGGATGGGATTTGATATTTGTTGAGCCTTCATCCAAACTCATGTGACCAAGGTTTGTGGAAAATTTCCTAAAGATAGATACCACAAATATCAGAAATCAATCTTCATTGGGTTCTTCTAATAATATTCATTAGGGTAATGAATCAATATTTATAACATCATTGAAAAACAAAAAAAAACTACACCAAGGACCTAACAACATATTGCACTTATTATTACTGTTGTTGGGTTGGGATGTCATTATATTTTTTTATAGTATGATCACAAATTCATACTAAATAGACTATAAGAAGAGTGTACGTCAGGCATACTAACATAGATTCTAGGACATTACCAAAAATGTAATGTTGGACCCACTAAAGCAAAACCGAGGAATGTAAACACAAATGTCCTCTTGAAGTCCAGTGACTGCACTTTATCTATTGCAAGCTGTAGAAAATAAGATTAAATTTATTAAAGAAAAGTAACATATAAATGAATGCATAGGCATACAATGCTTCAAAATATAAATTAAGTATTGGCGATAAAAGCAATACATTTAGAATCCAGATCATATGCAATGTCAAATCAAGGTTGATACCATAAGCGATGAGAGTAGATCAAAATGTCACTTAAGCGAAGAGATTAAATTTCCGTAATAATAAAAAGTGGAATCAATATACTGATAATAAATTATGAAAAGAACAGAAGATACATAAAGACAGAGACATAAAGTAGGGCATCCATTAAACCCAACTTGCAAGTATCTATCATGGTAAGGACTCTATCAGTCTGTGTGACAGTAGTTCAACCGTCTGTCAGATTTCTCCATGTCTTACATCTCTTCCTCCCCAACACACCCCCCCCCCCTCCCAAATAATCTTCTTAGTGCTCATTTTCCATTTGGAGTCCAAATCAATGTCTAAGTAACTTAAAAAATCCAACCCAGCCATTAAGACACTAGTTTTCTTGATTGTACCCTAAACTCAATGTTCAAAATATTTTCTGACTAGCAATTTGAGTTTATGGTAAAATTATCATAAAAGTTCTGAATAAATTATCCAAATTTGGTGCTGGTTGGCTTTCTTTTTATGCCAGTTCCGTGATCTTCATTCATATCAAAACATCCTTATTCAAAACAATTCCACGAATTTGAGCATAACTCCATCTCCCCTGACCTTAAATTCTTGGGAAACCTTGCATGTTTGTCCACATACAAGGTGGCAAATTAACATAAAGCTGAGCAGTTAAGCCATGTTCAGATAGCATAAAATAAATCAAGACTCTATTCCATGCAAAAATGTGTGTGCACGTATGTCATACATTTTGAAACAGTAATGAAATATATCCAAAACAATTGAAAGAGACATGGGGAATAATTGAGTAATACCTGGCAAATCAAATCACCAATTAGATTCAAAAGTGCAGAAGTTAGAGCTTTCACCGCAACAGGGTATTTTTCAAGAAGTGCCAAGTACCTGTAGTAAAACCATTTTACAGTTTCAAAAGAAAGCTATATTATTCAGGCATAAGAGCAAATGTTTCACACACACAAACAGTTAGAATCTTCGTACTTATAAAAGAAAAAAAATAATAAAAAATGAATTACACTTCTCTCATAAATGCTTATTATAATTTTTTTTTTCTTTTTTTTTCTACATGTGCTTATTATCCAAACAAGACATGAATAACCTTAGCCTAAAACAAAGGACGGATGATATATAACCATAAGGTTACATGTTGATATTTGTTTACCATGACAACAAGGACCACTTTTCTCCTCCATCGCCGCCGCCGAAATTCCAACCGCCAGAGCCACCAGAATTCGAACCGTTGGAGCCGCCGCCACGTGCGTTGTTTCCACCGGAGCCATCATCGGAGATGGCGGAGAGGCGGGAATTGCTACGGCGGAGGAGAGAGGGTTTGAAGGGGGCGGCGGAGTGATTGAAGTTGAAAGGGTGAGAGTAGAGCGAAGAGCGAGTGTGGAAGTGAAGGCGCGTGGGGTGTTGACGACAAATGTTGAGGTTAAGGGCACGGGAAGATACTAGGAATTTGTGCGCGTGGGCGCAAAATGCTCCATACACCATTTTCAATTCAAAAGGGTTTTCTGCTTTGAAATGATGAATACCAAAACGGTGCACTCAGTCACTCACTCAGTAGCACTTGGGTGGCAGAGTTGAACAAGTTCTCTGTTTCATGGGAAACAACAAATCCGTTTCATTCTTATAATTTACTTCACTATTCAATCACTGTTTATATATAATTATTAAAAAGAAAGACTTATTATAAATATCAATTATTCTTTAACAAATTGAATTAATTAATTTTTATATCTATAATATATTTTTATAATCAAATATATTTATTTTAAATTATTCTTTAATATAAGAAAAATAGAAATATTATAATTTGAAAAAATTATTATTATGATTTTGTATTTAGAAAATAGTAAAAATACGAGAAAAAAGTTAATATATTTAAAAATAAATGAAAAAATAAAATAATATTTTAAAAGAAATTAATTATTAAAAAAACATCAATAAGAATAATTGTAACTTTTTTTAATATTAATAAAGAGAAAATAAAAGAATTTAAAGAAAATAATTATTATAATTTATATATTTAAAAAAAGTGAAAATATTATATATATTTAAAAAATATAAATATAAAATAAATGAAAATAATATTTTAAAAAAGAATTATAAAAAATATAAATACGTGTTTTAAGTTTCTACTGGTAATAACATAATGAAATTCTCTTTTTGAAACAGCTTCAGAGAGAAACATAAAAATATGATAATTTAAAGAAAAAATATTTATTATAATTTATTATTTAAAAAAATAATAAATATATAAGAGAAAAAAATTATACAGAATTAATAAAAAAAAGTGAGTTATAATTATAAAAAGAATGTGAAGGAATTAACCTAGGACTCTTACCTGAAATTTGAGTTTGATTTATAAAAATATTAACTTGTTTATTTAAATGAATATAACTGGAAAGTTTGGGTTGTTCTCGTAATAAAAGCTAAACCTTAATTTGTTCTTTTTTCTTCTTTTTTTACAATTATTTTAAGAAAACATTTTCAATTCCCTGTTTTCATCTTTTATATATATATATATATATATATATATATATATATATATATATATATATATATATATATATATTATAAACTATTTTCATGATTAGAAAAAGCATTATTTCTTAGTCATATCAAACTATTTTTTATTCATATATTTAATTTTCTTAACAGTCTATTTTCTTGTATTGTATTAACTAAAAACAACTAAAAATAGTTTTACATCACAAATAGTTTTTATTATTATTATTATTATAATATATAATTTATCTATTCAAAATATACAAATCTTATATACTCTAATAGTATAAAAGCAAATATTTATCAAGTTTAAAAAGAATAAATTTTTACCATGGAAAATGCAAAGATTAAAATAATATTTTACTTATTATACATTTTAAGTAAAATATATTTATAATTTTGAATTATTTATCTTTTTAAATTTTAATTATATATATATATATATATATTGCAATGGAAAAACTAAAATACTATTTAAAAATAAATTATAACAATGGTTGCAAAATCTCATCCCATTTTTGGTATTTTCTTCTTAATCTGGCTTTTGCATATTATCTTTATATTTTGTAACTTACAATTTTTTTTAAGACTAAAGAACATAATAAAACCATTCGTCGACATTAAACTCTAATTTAAAAATAAGATATCTTAATTTAAATAAAATTACTATTCATGTGTAAATATTTTTTTAAAATTCAATTCTCTCCATGTAAAAGTACTTATTATTTCTAACAACTCTTGTACTATCCATCAACACGTGGTTGAAATCATCTAATCTTAAAACTTCATACTTTAAACTCAAATTTCTTGTTCAACATAAAGAATTGATTAAAAGAAATATAGTTTAATGATAGACAATAGGAAACCTAATGTTTGATAAAAAGAGAAAGACAAACCTAAACATAATTAAATTTATTATACCTTTTGGTTCAACATATTTGAGTTAGTATACCAACTAAGGATACAACATACAATCAAACACTTGGTTTAAATTATCGAATCTTAAAACTTCTTATTTTAAACTCAAACTTCTTGTTCAACACAAAGAACTGATTAAAAGAAATATAGTTAAATGATAGACAATAAGAAGTCTAATGTTATAGCAAAAGAAAGATAAAGCTCAACATAATTAAATTTATTATACCTTTTGGTTCAACACATTTGACTTAGTATACCAACTAAGAATAAAGATTTTGTTGTATGGGTTCACAGTGCATAACATGCTCTGTAACGAAATGGTTTAACAAAAGTCTGCAATCCCCGGGTTCTTCTTAAGAAGACTTTCATCATACTTGTTCTTCCAGAAGTTCTAAGCATCTTCTGCAAGAAACTGTTGATATAAATGCTCTAGAACTCTTCAACCGGATAATTCACAATTTGAAATTTGAATCGAGAAATGTAAAAAGAAAAGGTGGATGAACAAAGAGTATATTGAATATAGGAGCTAGGTTCATACGAGGGAGTCAACTGGACACATGTAAGATAGGCTATATGGAAAACTTTTGTTATTTTAAGTTAGTAGCATCGAGAACATCCAACAAGCAGGAGAAGTGCACATCTTTAACACAAAGGAGGTGATTTGTGCTACACTGTAGTATGTTTCATCTAGTCACCACATGAAAAATCTATCAAGATCAATAGAATGCAAATAAAACATTGCTCAGAGAAATAAAAGCCAAAGGCAATGAACTCAATCAGCCCCAAACCATTTTTACAATCTCTTCAAATATGTTTCCTTTACTACCTTCACTCACACATAACATCAAGGGGATCTACTCTCCTCACAATTCTCCAAGAAAGGAATCACCCAATCTCCTTCTCTTTCACCTTCCTCATTCACTTCCTAGACTACAACATTAATTTATTCCTTAGCCACATCACAAGTAAATAACTGTCTGGTTTTCCTACACTCTTTGCACTACAAGATCCAACACATTCCTATTGTAGAAAAATAAAGATATTGCAAAACCCATGCTGCACCTTTCGCAAGACAAGACGTGGTTGCAGTTGCAAATCACACTTCCTCCTCACACATCTAGGTTTAGTGCTACACAAATCTAGCTTAGTTGCAAACAAACGTGGTTGGTGAATTTCAGGTACAAGTGGGCTGAAACGTTGTGTGTGGGCTGTTACATGGAGATAGGTTTGTTACCCATACTTTACCTATAAATAGACTACTTCACACTCCTTCAAAATCACACCTAACTAATCTTCTCTTCTTTTCCCTCTCACTTTTCTTGTCCTAGATTTATACACTCTTTTTAAGAATTTCTTGCTAGTTTCTGAGTTGCTCAAAAAATTTGAGAAATTCCTGTTGTATCTTGGGGGACTTGCGTAATACTCCGTGCATAAGTCCTTAAGGGAAGTTATTACACACGCCTTAGGAATTAAGTTTTATTAGTGTCTCTATCAACTTTTATAACAATCTTAAGGATTTATGACTGACAGCATAGATATCAATAATAACTCTACACCGAAGAAGACACACAACATTTCTGAAACTCAAACTATTTTTACAAAACATTTTTCGGACGTTTCAAAAATTGAAGTTTTTATTGGGCAAAACTTTTGACATTGGCAGGAATGCATTTCTACTCTCTTAGACATGTATGGAGTGACTTCTGATCTTACAACTATCAAATCTGACTCCAATACTCCTACTAAACAAATTGAAGATTGAGTTCATTCGAACAATGTATGTTGACACATTTTGCTTAGTGCATTGTCTAATGATTTGTTTGATGTGTATCATTCCTACAAGAAAACCAAAGATATTCGGGATTTGTTGATTCTCAAATACACTGCCAACGATGTCGTGAGACAAAGGTTCGTTATCGAAAACTACTACCGTTAGGATATGCTAGAAGACAAGGATATCAAGATCCAGATCAATAGGTACCATAAACTGCTTGAAGATATTAAAGTCGAAAAATAGTTTTACTTGATGAGTTCATTTCGAAACTTCTAATCGAAAAGCTTTCAAAATCCTAAACAGACTATAAACAACAACTGAAACATAGGCATAAATAGATGTCACTACCAGATCTTATCATGCACATCATCATTGAAGATACCAATCGAAAGGAGTTTGTTGTTACAAGGGATAATGCATTATCAGCTAAGGAAAATATGGTAGAAAATAAACCAGCTCCGAAAAGGTACGAGAAAAAACTCGATTATAAGAAGAAAAATAATTTTAATCCTCGTCCCAATGGATCTAACCCCACATTCAAGAAGAAGGAAAATTTTTTTATCTATGGAAAGTCAGGTCCTCATGCACCTCAGTGTAGATGTAGAATAAGAAACGATAATCCTCCTAAGGAAAATTTAGCTGAAGGAGAAGATACAATTGTTGTAGTCGTTTTCTAAATAAACCTTGTGACAAATGAGTGGTAAACTCTAGTGCTATCAGACACATTTGTGCATACATAAGTATTTTTACCTCCTACACTAGTGTGGGGATGAGGAAGAACATGTTTATTTTTGTGATTCCATTACAACTCCTATTCTAGGAAAAAGGAAAAGTTCTTCTAAAGCTCACATTTGAAAAGATTCTGGTCTTGAGTAATGTGTTACATGTGCTATTAATCAGAGTTAATCTAATCTCTATAGCACTGCTGGGAAAAGTTAAAGTGTCATTCGAATATGATGAGATTGTTTTAACAAAAAAAATGTGTTTGTGGGGAAAGGATTTTGTAATCAAGATTTTTTTGTACTTAACATCTCTAAAGTTATTAATGAATCTGTTTTTCTGCTTATATTGTTGATTCATATGATCTGAGGCATGCTAGACTAGGACATTTGAATTCTTTGTATGTTATGAAATTATAACGATTATGGTTATTTAATATGCATGATAAATAAAATAAGAAATGTGATATATGTGTAGCATCTAAAATAACCAAGAAAATTTGTCAATTGATACAACGTCAAACTGAATTTTTAGGATTAATTCATACTGATCTAGCTTATCTAAAACAAACCATGTCTAGAGGTAGTAAAAATTATTTTGTGACATTTATAGATGACTACTCTAGATACACCAAAGTATACTTAATCAAACATATAGATAAAGTTTGACATGTTCTTAACTTGTAAAGCAGAAGTAGAAAATCAACTAAATAGGAAAATTAAAAGGATTATATCTGATAAAGATGAAGAATATGTATTATTTAATTATGATGTTAAAGAAGATATTGTTCATGAAGTGACCTCACCATATTCACCAGTCTAATGGAGTAGGTGAGAGAAAAAATATAACTCTAAAAGAAATTATGAATATTATGCTTATTAGTTCTAGTGCACCTGAAAACTTTGAGGGAGAAGCTCAACTTACAACGTGTTTTTTACAACATAGAATACTACATAAGAAAACTGGTAAAACTCCCTATGAGTTATGCAGAGGTTACCAACCTAAATCTTAAATATCTAAGATTGTGGGGGTGCCTAGCTAATGTAATGTTACTCAATCTTAAGAAAAGGAAAATAGACTCTAAAACTTCTAATTGTATATTCTTAGGTTATGCAGAAAATAATGTTGCTTATAGGTTTCTTGTCTTCAAAAGTGATATAATTGAGTATAATACTATAGTGGAGAAAAAAAATGTTAAGTTTTTTTAACATATTTTTCCTTTAAAGGTTACTAAGACACCTAAATAACCTATAGGTATTAATAGTGATGACATAAATGACAACTTGAGAAGAAGTAAAAGACAAAGAAAGAAACCTCTTTTATAAATTATTTTTACACCTATCTAGTTGAAAACAAGTTTTTTAGATGTTACTAGTGCTTCTGATACAACACAATGAGATAAGACCATTAAGACTAAAATTGACTCAATTAAGAAAAATAATACTTGAACTTTAGTAAATTTGCCTAAATGAGCAAAACCTATTGGTTGTAAGTGGACCTTTAAGAAAAAGTATTATCCTAATGGATCCATAGATAAATATGAGACAAGATTAGTAGCAAAGGGTTTTACTCAAAAACCCAACATTGATTATTTTGATACCTTCGTTCCTATGACTATGATTTCCTCTATTCAAGTTTTGTTAGCTCTAATAGTTATATATAAGCTAGTTATACACCACATGGATGTTAAGACAACCTTTTTGAATGGTGGATTAGAGGAAGAAATATATATAACTTAACATGAAGGGTGCGTTGTTCCTGTTCATGAGAACAAAATGTACAAACTTTTAAAATCTTTGTATGGATTAAAACAAACACCAAAATAGTGGCATGAAAAACTTAATAGTATTCTACTTTGTGATGGTTTTTCAACTAGTGGTGTTGATAAATGTGTGTGTTGGCAAAATTTGGGTCATGTATATATATGATACATATTTAAATGTGTTAGGGTCATTATTTATTAAGCCAAATAATAAAGTGATCTGAATAAATTAAAGTTTTGGCTAAAAGCATATGTCATGAAAATAATATTGTGTAGAGACCATAAAATAATTTCTAATTTGATGAGGGGCCAAATTGGAAATACTAAAACTTAAGTAATTAACCTAATTTTGGTTATATAAAGGGTCATGGTCCCCTTCTGAGAGCACACAAAAAAAATACATTTACAGTCCCGTTCTTTTCTTTCTATCCCCATCAAGAGAGAAAATCAATAGGGAAATACAGGTGCTCTTCAGGTGGAAGACCATAAGATCAAATAAAAGGTGCTCTACAAAGAATATCATCATTATGGATAATTCAGGTACGCTTTCGCATTTAGTTCATAACATGTTTACAGTATGAGATTATATATGTATGTTTGATCATAAGGAAGAAGATCATATTTAATTATCAGTTTAACCCAACAACTGGTATCAGAGCAACCCATACTTTATTCATGTTTATCTTTAGAAATTACATTTAACAAAATTGAGATTCTGGCTAATTAATAATTGGAGAATAATCTTCAAATTGTATGACCCCTACATTCAAATTTGGGGTAAAATCCCCAATTTTAAAACCTAGTTTCGAATTTGGGGTAAATTCCCAAATCGTGCGAGACCCTTCGCCCGCTTCGTCGCGAATCGCCACGTTGGCAGTACCGGCGAGCGAACCGCGTTTAGCAACCGATCGCGGCTGCGCTGGGAGATCTGCGCCCTGAAGCTCTCGACGATCTACCATTGGTGCTGGAGCATGGCGAAATTGGAGAGGAACTTCTTCTTCTGGTCATCGGAATCGACGAACAAGTGGTGATGCACGGGCTTGGCACGCACGCAGCGCGACGTAGCCTCCAAAAAGCATCCCCTCGTCGAGGCATCCCCAAATGTTCTCGGGCGTGTCGGCGAGGTACTTTACGGTTGCTCGATCGCGGCCTCCCATTAGCGCTTACTCCGACGCGCTTGCCGCCGTGGCCGTTATCGACGAGCTCGAGCCTAAGCAGATATTGGGACTGTTTTTTGGAATCGAGGAAGTTAGGCTTTGGAAGTCATTCAAAGATAGACTGGAATCGATCATGGTGATGCTTGATAAGCGTTACATTGCTGATACTTGTTTTGCGTGGTTGAGAGAGTGCGTGAGCAAGATAAGTGGAAGAAATTTGATTGATGCCATTAGTTGCGGCCAGGATTTGGCTTCTGCTGAGAAATCAATAAGGGACCTAAGAAAACGTGGGACCCGCTGCCTTAATTAACAAGAGAATTTGATAATGTTAATGTCGTGGGACCCGCTGCCTTAATTAAAAAAAATAAACAAATTTTGGTTTTGTTATATAATATTCAAATTTTTTTTTGTAGTTTAATATTTTTTTTGTGAGCAAATTGAGTCAAGAAGTTACCAAAGTAACCTCTCTTGAATTGGGCAGTTCATGAAAAATATTGAATGTTAGTGTTTTGTGTATATTCATGCGAGTATTAGTCGGCCCAAAGGAAGATTAATATTTGGCCGAATTGCACACACACTTGTAATGATAAACATGTGATAATTATAAGAATTTGCTTTGTCAATGATAAATCAATCCAAAGACTGGTTTGTTGTTGGACGTGCTTTATTGTCAATGTTTGATTATTACAACAAGATACCTCTAGCAGTTAATATTATTGTCCAAAGACTTGATATTGATGGTGCATTGAGTGTCTTGAGATGGGTTAAACCATTATTTGAATATATATTTTATTTATAATTATTTATTTTTTATAATGTGAGCATAATTAGTTTATTTCTTTTGTTCTAATCCAGCTACAATTGCTTATGTATCTGCCAATTTAAATTATGTTCCGATCCTCAAAAGTATGTTTCCTACTTTGGTCTGTTCTGAAGTCAATTTAGCGTCAGTACCTAGTAACACTTGGTGGTTAGACTCAGGTGCAACTACTAACATCAGTGTTTCTATAAAGGGTTGCCTAAGCTACCGGAAGCCAATTGATTCTGAAAGATGGATATATGTTGGAGATGACAAATCGGTAGAGGTGGAAGCCATAGGGCATTTTAAATTGTTATTGAGTACTGGTTTTTATTTGGATTTGAAAGACACTTTTGTTGTGCCGTCATTTAGACGGAATTTGGTTTCAGTTTCTTATCTGGACAAATTAGGTTATTTGTGTTCATTTGGAAATAATAAGTTCAGTTTGTCTTTTAATTCAGATATTATTGGAACTGGTTCACTTTTGCCTTATGATAATCTGTATTTACTTGATATTGTGACCACCTATAATGAAACCCTTAATACAGAATCACGGGGTACTAAACGTAAAATTGATGATACTCACTCAGGAGCATTATGGCACAGGCGCTTAGGTCACATCTCTAAAAATAGAATTGAACGACTTGTGTCAACTGGAATCTTAGAGTCCATTGACTTCACAAACTTTGATGTTTGTGTTGAATGCATTAAGGGCAAACAGACCAAAGCGAAAAGATTAGGTGCATATAGAGCTACAGACGTCTTAAAGTTGATACATACGGACATTTGTGGGCCATTTCCTACACCTTCGTGGAATAGTCAACAATACTTTATATCATTCATAGACGATTACTCACGATATGCATACTTATTCCTTATACATGAAAAGTCACAATCTCTAGACGTGTTCAAAACATTTAAAGTCGAAGTTGAAAATCAACTCAATAAAAGAATTAAGTCCGTCAGATCTGATCGTGGTGGTGAGTACTATGGCAGATTTGATCGGTCGAGTGAACAACGTCCCGGACCTTTTGCCAGGTACCTAGAGGAGTGTGGAATTATCCTACAGTATACCATGCTGGGATCACCTAGCATGAATGATGTAGCTGAAAGACGAAATCGAACTCTTAAAGATATGGTCAGGAGTATGATTTGTCATTCCACCTTACCGGAGTCACTCTGGGGAGAGGCACTAAAGACGGCAGCTTATATTCTGAACAGAGTACCAACTAAAGCAGCGACCAAAACACCTTATGAGCTTTGGACTGGGCGACAACCTAGTCTGAAGCATTTCCATGTGTGGGGATGTCCAGCTGAGGCAAGACCTTATAAGCCAAATGAAAAGAAATTGGACTCCGAACGGTAAGTAATTATTTTATTGGTTATGTCTGAAAGATCCAGGGGATATAAATTTTATGATCCCACATTAAAGACAATTTTTGAGACTGGAACTCGCTACGTTTTTGAGGATATTGAGTTTGGGGGAAGAATAAAATCGGGAACTTTGTCTTAGAGGAAGAATCGGTAACAATTCCGTAACCGATTCAAACAGTTACTTTTGATAAAGTAAGTTCGGAACCTCCACAAGGCATTGTTAATGAACCCCTTACTCAAGATGATTTGGTTGTTCATGAAGAACAAACTCAAGATCCTCAAGAACCTGTGCATCATGAGCCAATAACTTTGCGGAGATCCACTAGAGAAAGAAGAAGTGCTATTTCGGATGATTACATGATATTTCTTCAGGAACATGAAGAAAACAATGGTATGATGGAAGATGACCCAGCTTAACTTCCGTCAAGCCATGCAAGGTTCTAACTCGAAAAGTGGATCGAAGCAATGAAGGATGAGTATAAGTCCATGCAAGACAATAAGGTTTGGGAACTTGTCCCATTACCGGAAGGTATGAGACCCATTGGTTGCAAGTGGATATTTAAGACCAAACGGGATTCTAAAGGTAATGTGGAAAGGTATAAGGCTCGTCTGGTAGCTAAGGGCTATACCCAAAAGGAAGGGATTGATTTTAAAGAGACTTTCTCTCCAGTTTCATCGAAAGACTCTTTTAGGACAATCATGGCTCTTGTAGCACATTATGATTTGGAGCTTCATCAAATGGATGTCAAGACGGTGTTTCTTAATGGCAACATTGATGAGACGATTTATATGGTGCAACCAGAAAATTTTGTGCAGGGAGATTCAAAGAGTATGGTTTGCAAACTGACAAAATCCATTTATGGACTAAAACAAGCATCTCGTCAATGGTACTATAAATTTCATCAAGTAATTCTCTCATTTGGCTTCGAGATGAATATTGTTGATGATTGTGTATATCACAAGTTTAAGGGGAGTAAGTATATTTTCCTGATATTGTATGTTGATGACATTCTACTTGCCACTAATGATACAAACATATTGCACGAAACCAAGAAATTTTTATCAAAGAATTTCAAAATGAAAGATCTTGGTGATGCGTCTTTTGTATTAGGAATTCAGATACACCGAGATCGATGTCGGGGTATTTTGGGATTATCACAAAGGAGCTATATCGAAACAATTCTTAAAAGGTTTGGCATGTATGGATGTAAATCCGGGGATACTCCAGTTGCTAAGGGAGACAAGTTTAGTCTCAATTAGTGCCCAAAGGGAAATTTGGAAATTGAGGAAATGGAAAAGATTCCCTATGCATCAGCTGTAGGGAGTTTAATGTATGTCCAAGTATGTACGCGTCCAGACATAACATACATAGTTGGGATTCTAGGCAGATATTTAAGCAATCCAGGAATGGACCATTGGAAAGCAGCAAAAAGGGTCATGAGATATTTAAAGAGAACACAAGATTACATGCTCACATACAGGAGGTCAGACCAGTTGGAGATCGCTGGGTTTTCTGACTCGGACTTTGCAGGATGTCAAGATAGTTTGAAATCCACTTCAGGTTACATTTTCATGTTAGCAGGTGGTGCGGTTTCTTGGCACAGTGTCAAGCAAACCCTTACAGCCTTCATCCACTATGGCAGCAGAATTTGTAGCATGCTATGAGGCGTCGAATCATGGAATATGGCTGAGAAATTTTGTCACAGGGCTGCAAATTGTGAAAGGCATTGAAAGACCACTTAAGTTATATTGTGACAACAAATCAGCTGTATTGTATTCCAACAACAACAGAAGTTCGACTAAGTCAAAACACATCGACATTAAGTTCCTAGTTGTTAAGGAAAGAGTACAGAGTGGACAAATTTCCATAGAACATTTAGGGACAAACTCCATGATAGCAGATCCTCTAACTAAAGGACTTCCACCCAAGGTCTTTCATGAGCATGTTGCTCACATGGGTGTTTTACAGTTTGAGGAATTTGTGGTTTAGTGGGAGTTAGTCATTTTAATATATTTTATGTTCTATGTTTAATTTAATATATGTATACATTATTTTTTGGACATATTTGGTTATCTATAGATATGCGGTTTTTGTTCATTCATTACACTTTGTACATTAAGGTTTTTTATATCGATCTCGATAAGTTAAAGTTTGGACCAGTTGAAAATAGACGTGTATAGATCACCTTCACGTAATTTTTCATGCTACACATTTCATGATGAATCCATGTCATTTGGTTATGTCAGGATGAGTAATCTTGTTGGTTTTAGTTGCGATGATGCAATGAAAAGCTGGTTTGGTTCTATATCCTGATATGATTAATGGACAGGACTTTTGGAATATGCTAAAGGAATATAATGACAATTTTGAGCTCATAAAGTCTAACACATTTGTAAGGTTGTAAAAACATATATATTTGTGACCAGTGGGAGATTGTTGGCAAATTTTGGGTCATGTATATATATGATACATATTTAAATGTGTTAGGGTCATTATTTATTAAGCCAAATAATAAAGTGATCTGAATAAATTAAAGTTTTGGCTAAAGGCATATGTCATGAAAATAATATTGTGTAGAGACCATAAAGTAATTTCTAATTTGATGAGGGGCCAAATTGGAAATACTAAAACTTAAGTAATTAACCTAATTTTGGTTATATAAAGGGTCATGGTCCCCTTCTGAGAGCACAAAAAAAAAAAATACATTTACAGTCCCGTTCTTTTCTTTCTATCCCCATCAAGAGAGAAAATCAATAGGGAAATACAGGTGGTCTTCAGGTGGAAGACCATAAGATCAAATAAAATGTGCTCTACAAAGAATATCATCATTATGGATAATTCAGGTACGCTTTCGCATTTAGTTCATAACATGTTTACAGTATGGGATTATATATGTATGTTTGATCATAAGGAAGAAGATCATATTTAATTATCAGTTTAACCCAACAGTGTGTACTCTAAATTTGAAATGGTGAATATGTGATTATATATTTATATGTAGATGACATGCTAATATTTGGTACATGTATTGACATAGCCTCTAAAACCAAGTTGTTTCTGGATATAAATTTGAAATGAAAGACATGGATGAAACCAATGTGATTTTAGGAGTTAAAATCATAAGGAAGGGAGTTAAAATCATAAGAAAGAGAGATAATATCTTACTATCCCAAGAACAATACATTAAGAAACTTCTTAGGAAGTTTGGGTATTATGATTTCAAATTAGTGAGAACCTCTTATGACATTAACTCTAAGTTAAAGAAAATAAAAGAGATTCTATTTCTCAAACTCAGTATGCCCAGATAATTGGGAGCTTATTGTATTTAATGAACTTTTCTAGACCTGACATTGCTTATGTAGTAGGTAGATTGAATACATACACTCAATGTCCTAATCAAGAACATTGGGATACACTTGCAATACTTATGAGATACTTAAGAGGTCTAATGGATTATGCCATTGAATATAGTGGATTTCTCACTGTAGTAGAATGGTACAATGATGTTAACTGGATCTCTGATTCAGATGAGACAAAATCCACTAGTGATTATGTATTCACACTTGGGGTGGTGCGATTACATAAGATCAGCCAGACAAACAATTATTGCAAGATCAACAATGAAATATGAGTTTGTTGCTCTCGAAATGACTGGCACATGTGATGGTAACCTAACCTTTGTGATTAGAGATCCTATAAATAAGGTTCATATGGGTAAAAAACAAGTCACCTGTTAGTTCTACTAGCACTAAAATTGATTAAAATCAATTATATTCATTTCTATGGTGTGTGTGAAAGTGCTAGATACTGTATCATTGAGAGGATAAACTTTGTAATTAAAATTTTATGTGGTGTACGAATTTTAGTCACAACAAAGCTTTTAACGATTTCATATCCCTTACAGGTGGTGTATGATTTGCAGCATACGCTTAATGAAATCACCTATATGAGTGTCGAGTAGGGGCGCTTGTATGAGATCTCTGCAAGATTTCTAAAACACTTATGAATACCGAACACGCGCATGACCTAATAAGCGCAACACAGCGTAACAACAAGAATTGTGGGGGTGTATTGTGATTGTTAAACCGCTGACACACTAAGTGTTTTGATTCATATAGTTTGTTATACCAACTACATTGTGTGTTAAGTTTTCAGTCTAAGACTGATTCATATAACTTGCTATACCAACTTTGATGCATTACATCTTATATGAAACCCAAAATTTTCTTCTTTTTTCAGTTTTATTTATTTTGCAATATATGGGGAACTGTTGTAGAAATATAAAGATATTGCAAAACTCACGCTGCACCTACCGCAAGATGTGGTTGCAGTTGCAAATCACACTTCCTCCTCATATGTCTAGGTTCAGTGCTACGCAAATCTTGGTTCCGTTGCAAACAAATTTGGTTGCTAAATTGCAGAAAATAGGTGGACTAAAACGTTGTGTATGGGCTGTTACGTGAAGATGAGTCTGTTACCTATACTTTACCTATAAATAGACCACTTCACACTCTTCGTGTAACATCTTAAAAATTTATCATCTTCCACATACAATATATTAAATTATACTATTTGGATAATTTAAATATATTTATAATAAAACAAGCATATATTAAAAGAATTTTGTTATTATTATTAAATTATTATAATATATATATATATATATATATATATTTGTTATATTTATAAAAATGAAAGAGAAGAAAAATATTAATTTTCTTAATATATAAGATAAAGTTATCTTATCTTAAAAGATAAACCTTACCAAAATCATAATTACTGCATTTATGGTTACTTAATTAAATAAATGAAAAAAAAATTGCTATAAAAAGGGACCAAGGAGGAAGATCCGTGGGAAGATAAGGAAGAAGTAGAGAAAAAGAGAAAGAAAGAGAGAGGGAGGAAGAAAAAGAGAGAAAGAGAAAAAAAAGAGAAAGGGAGAAAGATAATGAGAGAAAAGAAAGATAAAACCGTTTTTGCAAAATTTTGGAACATCATTTGTAGTTCCTAAAGTAGGGGAGGATATATTATCATTAAATCTATGTTATTTTGATTATAATTGTGGAGTGAGGTGTCCCTAATCTTATTTTATTTATTTAGTTACTTATTTATTTATCTCTAACTACGTAATGATCCTGTCTTATGCTTGTTTATTTCATCTCCAGCCTTGTACTGGTCCTATTTGAATTATTTCCAGTCTTGTACTGATCCTATTTGAATTATCTCCAGTTATGTACTATTCCTGTTTGTTTATTTTATTTTATTTCTAGTATTGTACTGATCCTATTTTAATTATCTCGAGTTATGTACTTGATGCTTGTTTGTTTATTTTATTTTTTCTCCAAGTAATGCAACTATCCTATTTATTAATTTATAGTTATATTATTTAATTATTTTTATAATAATATCTATTTGTGAAGATTTGATGATATTGTAGATGAATGTTAGACCTTGAGAATTTAAATGAGTAAATATCAATGAGAGAGTGATTAAAATTAGGCTCATTTATCTTGACTAGTCACTAAAAATTTAATTTAAATCTTCATAAACTAGAATGTGTTGAGGAAGTTGTAAATCTTAATTTAATTTAAATCTTCTGACTAAACCCTAAACCCTAAATCTTCATAAGATTGTATTTTTGTAAATGATAAATGTTCTCACTCCCTATTGTGATCTTTTATTTAAATACGAACTTAAGTAAATGGAGGCGCCAAATATTCCAAATTCCTTTTCTGCAAGCATCACTGTCTTCTTTCCATGAATTACTTGGAACACGAACGTTATTGACAACTCAGTTACTTTTAAAGAGACAAGATTATCGATATTAATATTTACATCTGATATGGGAAATCCCATTATGTTAGACGGACCAAGTAGTGGTTACCTTTTGTATGTCTCCTACCATTTACCAAAACCCCTTAATTAGTTTATTTCCATCATCAATATAGATATTTATAAAATTATAATAAGAATAAAAGGAATAAAAAATAAATAAAATTCTTATCTTAAAATATATATATATATATATATAATAATAATAATATAAATTATTTTTACATATATGAAATATTTTTATTTGACCTGTTATTCTTATATAAATAATAATAATAAAAATGTGACATTTTCTCTTTCCTCTCACTTTTCTTGTATTGAGTTTATATATATTTTTTAAGAATTTCTTACTAATTTTTTAATTTTTCAAAAAATTAAAAAAATTTCAGTTATATATACGAGTAACTTTGCCACAGATAAATTCTCATGAGAAGTGATTACAAAACTCACGAATATAAGTTTTATTAGTGTCCCAATCAACTTTTACAACAATTCCTACGTGCCTCGTATACGGGATTAGGCTCAATCAAACCCCCCGTTCCACTATGCTTCCCTACAAAAAAAAAAGTTAGAATAGTTTATATGTAAAATATATCAGGGTCCGTTAGAAACAATTCACGCACATTAACTTCAATACTCAAGTCTCTCCGAAAATGAGCCAGTTTATCAACCTCAACCATTTTCTCCACAGTCAAGCTCAATAGGTCATGAAGAACAGCCACGGCCCTCTTTTCATACCGCTCAATCCCTCCACATGTTCTCACTTTAGCAAACTACTTCCTCTCATAAGGCTTAGTGTATGAAAGCTTCTTCCAATTCTTCAACCTTTCTCTAAACCCTTTCTCAAATGGGAAATGCAAATTTGGTCTCAAACTCACTCAACCACTTCTCTGTGTACTCTCTCCCTCCATTTCTTAAACTCAGGCAATCCCAATTCAGCCTCCCAATCAACCAACTCCAAAACCTCACAAACCAACATTTAAAATCCCCACTGAATTCCCCGAGAATGGAGTCTCTGAAATCCTCAGGGAGACCCAGTTCCCTTTAGATCATCCTCAAAAAGAGCAAACGAAGAGTGCCACTCAAGGACACCGTCAGCTACTTGTTCACCCTCTTCACAGCCTCCACCTCCTGCTGCTTCATTACCAACCCGTCAAACAAGATCAACTCTTGCATCTTTTTTGTGACCGGACAGCAAGTGTTCCTCCTCAGAGACATTGAGTCCAAGGATGTTTCTCAAGCGGGACATGAGGGTGAGGGAGACGAAGGGACCGCGTTTGCGGATAGACATGAGGTGGTGGATTTTGAGGACAAGGTAGAGTCTTTTGAGGTGGGTAATGAGTTTCTCGAAGAGGGGGTCTCGTACTCAGTCCTCCAAACGGGTTTGGGCGGAAACGTGGGTTCTTCCATCGAAGTGGGGGTCTCGTACTGTGTCTGGGACTATACAAGATATTCATTGCATTGAACTCTGGTTTCACTTCTGATAGCACCAATCACAATATACTTGTGTAGCGTTGAAAGGAAAATTCATGTTATTACTAAAGGAGGCAGGGTTTATGCAGCGCAAAACCAACGAGGGTAAATAAGGACTCGTGTTATTAATATTAATAATAATAATGACTGATTACTATAGTTTTTAATATTAATCGAAAATTAATAAAATAGTTTATTGTATATTATCTCAAGGGAAGAAGAAAGCGGGAAAACGAATCAGAATTGTAAGCTAAAACCCTACTTTCTCTCTAACGGGAACCCAACATGGCTTCCTTTCCTCCTCCTGGTTCACTCTCTCTCTGCGAACTTAATCGTGACCTAAGTAACTAACTCGCTCTCTCACTCACTCACTTTCTATTGCTTCGCTTCTCTGACTACAAATTTTCTCTGCAGTCACCGTCGACGCTCTCTCCGACGATCGAGCCAACCAAACCTACGGAAAAATCCTTGTAGCCAATCGCATCAATAAACATTTTCCAATTCGCTTGATTCCCTACTTCGCGATACTATTTCCCGAATTTATTTCATTAACGTTGTTTTCTTTTTTCTATTTTAGGGATTGGTGTTCTGTCCTGTTCCCTTTCAGTCTCTGGAGAGCGACGCTTCCGATCAGGAAGGAGCAGCGACGTCGGAGAACGCTGCAGGAGAAAGCTTTCAGAGGAAAGGTCCGGTGGGACTCTTGCAAGAGCTTGTGAACGCCTATGTCGGACGTCTCTTTTACCCTAACGATGTATGTTGTGCCTGATTCGTCTCACTGTTTGCATTATGGTGTAATTTAACGTGGTTTCACTGTGTGGTCTTAGTTGAATGTTAGTTGTTGAGCTATGTGTAGGTGCATTTGTTGCCGGAGGTTGATCTCCAAGGGATAAGCTGGCACCCTAATAAGCATATAATTGCTTTTATTTCTGCCCCAACTCAAGTTTTGGTTCGTGATTACCAAGAGCCTGGTACTTAACATCTTGTGATCGTGAGACATGTTATTGGTAGCTTGTTTTGGTCTTGTTTGGAAAAAATTATCGATAGACACTTTCAGGACATGAAAATATCCTTTTGAAGTTCCCATAAGTTTAAATTAGCTTATGCATGTTAAAATATCCTTTTGAAAAAGCTATAGAATTTAACATACGGGAGAAGCTTATTTCATTCTTATTTTTTTTTCTCCTTTAGTGTTTAATTGAAAAGTATATGCAAACAATGTCTTAGTTATTGTTATTTTTGTTTATGCTTATAAATGCTGATTGATACTTTGACATTGTAAATAGAGGGGAAGGATCCGAGTATTTTGGCGAACGAGTCACAGAGAGACATTAGGGTGCTGGAATGGAGGCCCAATGGTGGGAAAATGCTTGCTGTGGGTTGCAAGTGAGGTTTTGTCTTTATGTGTAGTTGTTATGGTGAATGCACTGTCAATTGGTTGAGAATATGCTTTCTTGTTTACTGGAATTGGGTATACTGTTGCAGGGGTGGAATTTGCATGTGGGCTGCTTCTTATCCTGGAAATGCTGCATCTGTTAGATCTGGTTCTGCTTCCTTTTTAGGAAGTTTGTCCCGAAGCTCAGGAAATCGGTATATCCTGGTTGATTTCCTTCGTAGTCCATACGATGAGCATGTTAGTGCTCTCACATGGAGCCCGGATGGAAGATATCCTAATAAATTTCAATAAGTCCTTATTTTTGGGTTCTTCTCTCTCTCTCTCTCTCTCTCTATATATATATATATATATATATATATATATATATATTTTTTTTTTTTTTTTTCAAAATTTTTCTTGTACTCCACCATACTTTCCTTAACCTAATTTTACATACTTAGCATCTGCTTCATATGAAAGCTCCTCGTTCACAGTGTGGGATTTTGCTCAAGGTATGATGAAGAAGATCTTTGCCTACTTAAGTTGTTCAGTGATGTTACTAATATGCTCAATACGCTTAAATTTCATTCTGGATTTTTCTTCGTTTCTTTTTCTTTTTCCTGCCTGAGTTGTTCTCACTCAATTTATAGGGAATATCAAAAGTACCCTAAATTGCAAATGTTTAAAACCTTTAGTCATAAGCTAAACAACACAGTAACATATGGATGATAGGATCTGATAGACCACAGACCAAGTTTGCTTCCGCAAATCAATATAAAGAAATACACCCTTTTTAACTTGAATTTAATTTTATTGTGTGAACTTAACTTTTGAGTTGATGTACTTTGATTTTACAAATTGACTATGTTATCAATGAAGATAGGCTCAATTGGTAAGATTAAGTTACATTGACTCTAAAGGTCCTTGGTTCCATTCTTACTAATTGTAACTGGTAATTTGTTCATAAGGTCATATGTAAGCTTAAGTAGGCACTGTAAGCCCTTATTGAGGCTTATGGTGTGGCTGATCCGGGAATGAGGCAACCTCCTGTCCCAACTTTTTTGTGCAAAAAAATAATCTATCAAAGTTCTGCTTCACTAGTTATATATGCTATGTTGATTCTGAATTGTTAGATTGATAGTTTCAGCCATGAAGGGTGAGGACTATGTCTATATCTAGATTGTCATTGTTGTTGTTGTTCATCAGCAACAGTGATGACCATCTTTTTTCATTGGGTGAGCTCAATTACATACATCACATGATGTTCTTGGGCTCTGTTAGAAATAAAATTGGAAGATATACTAGTTACCATGAAATCTCTGTTAACAATTTCCTATCTATCATGAGTAATTCATGTCCAGGATATCAAGAAGTTTTTAGGTTGCCTGTCAAGGGCCGAAAACAACTGTTGTTTACTTTATCTTGGGATAGGCTATGAGACCACGAAAGTTAGATTGTCATAATGCCATTATGATAAAAAAAAAAAAAATCTTAAGCTCAAAAGGTTGTCCCTAGTTTCTGAATCTCTGATTATTTTCCATATTATATATAGGTGTGGGGACACCCATTCGACGCGGATTAGGAGGCATATCAATGCTGAAGTGGTCACCCACCGGAGATTACTTCTTTGCTTCAAAATTGTAATGCATAATGCCAAACCTAAATTATTTATTGAACATGGACTGTTTATGATTCACAACCTCGTTATTTTCTTGATCAGTGATGGAACATTTTATCTTTGGGAGACAAACACATGGACATCAGAACAATGGTCCTCAACTAGTGGTTTTGTCAAGGTATATGAGATTTACTTTCATGTTTTGATGCTCTATGATGGCCTATTTATAGAAGTGGCATTTAGTCCTTAACCATCTTCAGGGTGTTGATATGTTTGACAATATGTTAATAGTGTAAATACAATTATCTTCAAGAGTATTCAGTGCTATAATTCTTCAGTTGGTTGGTGTTTAAAATGTGAGAGCTATCCAGTAATATACATTATTTTTATTCTTTTTTATTTTAGGGTGACAGACAATGTTACTTTGATAATAGAAAATGAATTATTGTCAAGAAAGAATGTCCATTGTCGGACATGAAATATCCTCCTTAGAAGCAAGTTTAGAAGAGATCATGGATTAGTGTTTAAGGAGCTGAAATAACAAAGGCAAAAAAAAAAAAAAAATCTTCTATAACTATTGTATTCTATCCCTTCGTTGTAGCAGAAAAGCATTAACATTTTTCCCTGGTTTTTGTGCAAATTTTTAAAAAGATGATTAAAGTCAAAACAAGTTGACATTTTTTGTAATTGAAATATATCAAATAAATTTCCCTAAGATCCTTAATTACATCATAATTGAAATGAACATATCATGCACATATGTTCCTTCATTCCTATTCTTGTAGAAGAAATGCTATGTATTAGACCTAACATATAATACTACAAACACTAATATATATTCCCTTTTGTTGAGACTGGGAGTTAAGTGTTCATATATCTTTAGTGGAACAAGGTACGATGATATCTATGAAAATTAAAGATTCAATGGTAGAAGAGCCTAGTATTTTTGTAAAAGCGAAGTGATTGGCATAGGAGTATAAATTTTGTTGTGATAGCTATCAGATAATGCTCAGATTTATGTAGTATCTACTTTCAATGATGTGTGATCAGAGTGCAACATGGGATCCAGATGGGCGTATGATACTTCTTGCATTTTCTGAATCGTCAACTTTGGGATCTGTTCACTTTGCATCAAAGCCTCCCTCATTAGGTATCTGACCTTTTTTGTTCAAAGATCTTATGTTAATTTTTTTTGTTTTTGTTTTTGTTTTTACCTTTTGTATCTTGGCTATTTTAATATTAATACTGGACAAATGAAACGCGGCATTGAATATAGGAACTATATTGAAAAGGGAAATATAATATATTTAAAATGTCCGGGGCAAATATGACACAGTATGTGACCTATCAAATCTATTTATAGTGAAACACTGACCATAAAAATGCTGATAACAAAGACCATGACAAATAGTACCACTCTTTTGCTGTAATAAAATTTGAGTTGGATGGAAACGGGAAAAGAGTGATTGAGATGGAACAATAGAAAATATTTCCCAAATAAGTGTATGAATGTAACCCAAAACCTCCATGCCGAAACTATGACCATGAAAAAACACATGCCCTCTCCTTTGGGTTCACTACAAGTAATACATTCCCATACTGAATCAACGGAAAACTATTCAAGTTAATTGAATTTGTAGATTGGTGATATTTGAGATTTAGATTTATTACTAAAATGTGCTTTTGGTGAACATGTATTAGGAGAGTGTAACACTAAAAATTATGTCAAGTGTTGTCCCTAGTGGAAAAGGGAAGTTTTAATTGGTTCATGCTCTACTACCTCTGAAAAGTTCCCCAGTAAGAAAGTTGCTGGAATTAGGAAACTCATTTGCAAGTTGCAAGGATGTTGGGGAGTTTGCAAATAATCTTGTTCTGCTTAATGAATATAACTATGCTATCAAATTTTGAGTGGATTATTCTTAGCCTCTGTTTGAAGTCTTGGTTTTATCCTCAATTCATACTCTCCGATCAATTCATTTTTAATTGATATATGTGGTTGTTTGAAGTCTTAGTTTTAACCTCAATTCATATTTCTCTGTTTAATTCATGTTTTATATGATATATGTAATTGTAGCATTCATGATGTTCAATTACTCATCCTTGACTTTCCAGATGCTCATTTGTTACCTGTTGATTTGCCGGAAATATTATCATTGACAGGCAGGTAAAGATGAATTTATGTTTTTATGTTGAATAATTCCTTGAATGTGACCCTATAGTCTCGTCATTATATTAAATTCCTTCTGAACCAGTTCTTAGGACTGTGACCGGAAGATCATGGCTCAAATTCTAGTAACAGCCTATTTGCTAACACAAGCTAGGTGGCATACATCTACTCTCCCCAAAACCCTATTTGATAGGATTTTACGGGGAGAAAAGGCCCGTCAAAATAGACACCGTATCTTTTAAAATAATGTTTTCAATCGTTTAGATCTACATGGTATGGTTATCATGTTTCCTGTTGTTAGAAACTGTGGCCATTGGTTATCTTACGTATTTCATTCAGTCAGGGAATTGAAAAGATAGCATGGGATAATTCAGGGGAGCGATTGGCTGTGTCTTTTAAAGGTGGAGATGATATGTACAGGGGACTGATCGCCATATATGATACAAGACTGACACCTCTTATATCTACGTCATTAATGTTAGTTCATGGTCGAACAGGGTTCAATTACTGCTCTATTATTAATTTTCCAGTTTCTCTTTGATTATTTTATGCTGGAATTTTCTTATTAAATATTCTCCGTTCTACGTCATTTGACATTATTTTCCCTTCCAATTATGTGTTTTAGAGGATTTATAAGAGGACCGGGAGAAAAACCGAAGCCAATCTCATTTTCATTTCACGGGAAGTTTAAGCAGGGTCCATTGCTTTCTGTGGTGAGTCTCCGCTGAATTTTAACTGCTGTCATTATTTCTGTTTTCTTTTCAAATAAGTTATCTATAGTAAGATATGCTGATATCATAATTTATTGTAGATGTTCTATTAAATTTTTCCTATGTCCTCAAAAGTAGAAGGAAAAAATAATAACATATGATAATTTGGGGTCTTCATAAATGCTTTAGGGTTTCATGTTCTATTTTGGTATTAGTTTATACTGCACACATTTGAAGTTCTGTATATTTTTTTCCTGCAGTGCTGGAGCAGTGGGTTTTGTTGCACTTACCCCCTCTTGTTTCGTTCTCATATGCTTCCATGACGAGGATTTCTGTGAAATTTTGTTGTTTGTATACGATTTGGAGCAATTTGAAGTTAATGTCATTAATTCAATCTTATGAGTTGCTTTACCTGGAAAATATAGGAATGGTGTTTGGATTCTAACATCTATAGACCTTATCCATAATGGATAAGGTATTTATTCATCATATGGCTTGGGGTTTGGGTGTAGGTAATTTATCCACAAAGTGATACACATGATTGTTACCATCCAACTCTCTCTCTCTCTCTCTCTCTCTCTCTCTCTCTCTCTCTCTATATATATATATATATATATATATATATATATATATATATATATATATATATAATAATTAAAATTTAGAAGTCTTAAAATAAGAGGTTCATTAATGTGGTTTTACATAAATATCCAATAGGAATTGCTCGCGACAGTCTATTTTTTATTTAATAAGTATATTTATTAAATTACATACTTAAAAATGTAATTATCTCAGTTTAAAATATTCTGTTATCTTTAGTACAATTTTTTTAGAGTTAAATTAGCCATAGTTGATTATAAACATTAAAAAAAATATTTAAAATTAATAAATATAGTGGGAGAAATTGAAAAACAGATGAAGTTATACTTGTAGGAATTAAAAATATATTCTAATTATATATAAATTAGCCTGATCGCATTGGGAGTAGAGAAAAAAATTATATAAATAGATATAAATTATATATTTTGTATGACAAAAAATGATTATTAGAAATTCTGTTTATATATTTTTTATAGATCATGTTTTCTGATGAAATAAAGCCTCAACCACTATTATTTATAATAAACCAATTATAGTTAATAATAAAAACTAAAAGAAGTAATTAAAAAATATTAAGGAGTTAAAATTATTTTCTTTTTAAGATGAGTTGTTAGTGGAGCCGCAGTAACCTCCTATTTGCATGATTAGTTTTTTTGTTATCTGTGACTTTGAAATGCCTTACCCATCAACTTAGTTCCACTGGGTTTTCTAGTCAACCTTATATTGCCAAAACAATATATTAAATATTTATCTTCTTTACTTTTAAAAGATACTTAATATAAAAGAAAAGTAAAAGTAGGACTCATTAATTTGTAGATGTAAATGTAAATGATAAATGGAAACCCTCATTATTTTTACTTTTTTTTTACAAAAATCATCAATAATTCTTTCCTAAACAAGACTCTTTTAAAAAAATATTTTCAAAAGATTAGAGCACAACTATTTAATCTATTTGTGGCATAGGAGATTTCATTTTATAAGCTAAATATACATTACAGAAACAATGAAATGTGTGTTAAAAAAAATTCAACATCATAAAAGTTAATTTTGATTCACTTGTTAAAATCTCTCAAGTAACTTTTAATTTTTCAAACAATTTCAATCAAGATCTTAAAAATTATAATGCTTTAGACAAGTTTGTAAATATTTACAATGTAAATTTAAATGTTGTTCAGAAAATAATTGAAGTCTTTCAATACCAAACAAAATTTGAAATATACTCTCATACGTGTTTTAGTTATCAATAAGACATTTTTAGAAAATTATATTATACTTACGGCTACCTCCTTTAACATCATTATCTCTTAATTTTAAATATATAATGTACTGAGTAGTTAAAACATCACTTATCGCGCATTAATATTTCGTTGATCGATTATTATCTTATTATAATTGTTTAAAAAAAATAAGTATATGCAATATTAATAATAGTTATAGAACTTTTATATATATATATATATATATATATATATATATATATATATATATATATAACATTCTAAAAATCAAAATAACTACCAACTGTTATAAAGAATTCGTTATAAAGTATATTTATAAGCACAACAATATGAGAGATTAATGCCACCATTTTGTTGTAATAATGTATCCAAGTCAGACCAACAGAAGCAGAACCAAAAGCTTATATTATTCTAACAGAAACACAAATTCAGAGCGTATTATTTATCTAACAAAGGGTGCTCAGATCCTTACAACGGAAGATAATGCTCTACAGATTAGAAACAGTAAAGAAGAACTATAGAAAAGAACAGAGCACTAAGAAGCTGATTTGAGCATAACTTCAAAGGCTACCAGGCTCCCACAGCCTATGCCAAATTCTATGATATCCCCCCTCTTTTCTGCACACCCCTCACATATACCATTCGCTCTCTTTTCCCCGTGGTGGTCAAATCTGCTGCCACATTTATCACATGCCACCTCTTCATGCTATTATATTCTTCCCTCTATACTCCTATTAATTCATTCACTCTCTTGCTTCCTTCACTAATCACATTCCTATCTCCATTGGCCATATACAATCCTTTTTCATCCACAACTGCAATAAAATCCAAACACCCACCAACCAGAAGATGCCAGAGTGTTCATAGGCTCTAGCTACTTCACAATGATAAAATAAAAAAGAATAGAGAGAGATGAGAGTTCAGTTATCTTCAGTGCAAATGAGTAGAAAGGAAGACACACATGACAACCGAAAACCATTTTTATTCTACAAAGACAGAGAAGACACTCTCTGCAAGAGATATCCGCAACTTCTCTCCTTAGGACATTTAGTTCATCACTACGAGGTATCAACTCCAAGTAAAGAAACAGCCTCAAGTAAAAACAAGCGCTTCCCCTTCCACGCATTCAGCAAAATTTCACAACAATAGTTGAAAAGCTCCATCGCCAGTCAGCTCCATGTACAATAATATATCTATGACCAATCTTCGAATGCAATAATTTTCCAATTATAAATAATTTATAACTAACAAATATCTTAAAACTGAGGTGGAGGCTGTGAAGAGGATGAAGCAGCAGGAGGTCCAGGCTGTAAAGCCCAAAACCATTTTCACAATCTCTTCACAACGTCAAGGGGATCTACTCTCCTCACAATTCTCCAAAAAAGGAATCACCCAATCCCCTTGTCTTTCACCTTCCTCATTCACTTCACATACTACCACATTACTCTCTTCCTTAGGATCATTACAAGCCAACAATTGTCTGCTATTCCTACGCCCTAACAATACAAGATCCAACATATTCCTACGCGCCTCATACAAAGGATTTGGCTCAATCAAACCCCCTTTACTATATGCTTCCCGAAGAAAAACAGTTAGAGTCTTCCCTTTAGTTGATATGTAAAATATACCATTGTGCCTTAGCAACAATTCACGCATATTAACTTCAATACCTAAGTCTCTCCGAAAATGAGCCAGTTGATCAACCTCAACCATTTTCTCCACAGTCAAGCTCAATAGCTCATGAAGAACAGCCACGGCCCTTTTCTCATACCGCTCAATCCCTCCACATGTTCTCACCTTAACAACCTCCTTCCTCTCATAAGGCTTACTGTATGAAAGCCTCTGCCAATTCTTCAACCTCTCTCTAAACCCTCTCTCAATCTTAAACCCAGTTGGAAAACTAATGGGAAATGCAAACTTGGTCTCAAACTCACTCAACCACTTCTCTGTGTACTCTCTCTCCCTCCATTTCTCAACCTCAGCCAATCCCAATTCAGCATCCCAATCAACCAATTCCACAACCTCCAAATCAACCAATTTAAAATCCCCACTGAATTTCCCAAGAATGGAGTCTCTGAAATCCTCAGGGAGACCTAGTTCTCTTCTGATCATCCTCAAAGCGTGCAAACGAAGAGTGCCACTCACAGACATCATCAGCAATTTCTTCACCCTCGTCACAGCCTCCACCTCCTGCTGCTTCATCACCATCCCTTCAAGCAAGATCAATTCTTTCATCTTTTTTGAGACCCTACAGCACGTGTTCCTCCTCAGAGGATGGACAAACACGTGAGGGTATTTGTGGAGGAAGGAGCCCACAGGGACGTTGAGTCCGATGATGTTTCTCCAGCGGGACAGGAGGGTGAGCGAGACGAAGGGACCGCGCTTGCGGGTGGACATGAGGTGGTGGATTTTGAGGACAAGGTAGAGTCTTTTGAGGTGGGTAATGAGTTTCTCGAAGTGGGGGTCTCGTACTCTGTCCTCCAAACGGGTTTGGGCGGAAACGGTGGGTTTCTTCCATCGGCGTTGGGTGAAGAGGGTAAAGGGTGAGAGGAACCTGTGTCTGGGGCTATACAAGATGTTCATTGCATTGAACTCTGGTTTCACTTTGATAGTACCAATTACATTATTCTTGTGCAGTGTTGAAAGGAAAATTCATGGTTATTACCAAAGGGAAGGGTATATGCAGCCAACAACCAAAGAGGGAAAAATAGACTATAGGGGGAACCAAATATGGGTTCCTTCCCTCCTCCCGGATTACTCTCTCTCTCTCTGCGAACTCAATCGTGACCTAAGTAGCTTACTCGCGCTCTCACTCACTCACTCACTTTCTATTGCTTCGCTTTCCAAACTCAAAATTTTGTCTGCAGTCACCATCGACTCTCTCTGCGACCATCGGGTCAACTAAACCTACGAAAAAAAAAAAAAACCCTCGTTGCCAATCGCATCAACACAATTTTCCTATTCTCTACTTCCCGATACCATATCCCCATTTTATTCATTACCGTTTTTTTTTCTATGTTAGGGATTGGTATTCCATCCATTTGATCTTAACCAATGTCTCCATATGATCTTGCCTAATTACTCCAAGTGATTTTTTTTTTGTTAATTGATCTCTGTCCATGATTTGAATACTATTGTTTGAGATTTATTTTTCAATAAGAAAATTAAATATTTACTCCTCTAGTCTCTATTTCAATATCAAGGTTATGTATTTATAATTATTAATAGACAGTTCAATCTAATTATAAATTAAATAAAAAAATTATGATATAGTCTAACTTATATTTTTAAATGGGTCATAATTTTTAATCTAATATCATCCTTTATTAGATTAATAATTAATGAGTAATTTTGACCTAATTGAAAATTAATTTTTTTATTAATGTATATGTTTCAAAATAATTAATTAAAAAATATTTAAATAAAAGTAAAAATAAAAAATATATTTAAATTTTTATTAAGGATATAATAATTTAATATATAAATTATAAGATAATATATCTAAAATTTCATCTTAGTTTTGAGATTTAAAATAAATAAATATCTTATTAAATTAATTTATAATATATATATATATATTAATAAAATAATATTATTTTATTTTTATTTAAAAAATTATTATTATTTTATAAAACAGGTGGCGGATGAACCTATGAGTGTTTTAGCATTAAAATCCTTGACTTAAGCGTGTTGTTATAATACATGTGAATCATATAACTTACTCCACTAATAAATCATGTGATCGATTAATTATTTACATTATTTAACCTCAACATCTTCAACTTAATACTGAAGGATCACGTGGTGTTCTATATTGATCATATGAGTGATTCCCCTAAAAAATTATGGGATCGACTTTAATGATAAACATGACCCACATTAATACGAGTTAATCAATTAATCACAAAATATGTTACTAATTACCCAAGATGTCAATCAATTAAGAGTATTTAACCCACTAGTGTAGATGCTAACTTTTAATCCACAATTGTGAATGACAAAAATCCTATAAATATACATCTAAATGAACGTGAAAGATCGCAAATATAAAATATTTTAGAAAAAGTTTTAAAATTTAATCAAAATTTTCTAAAAAAATAATTTTTTTTAAATATATAATATTATATTTAAATATAATAAACGTTTTTGTTTGATTTGGTTCTGTTGATAATTTTTAATAATCATTACAGTTAAAAAAAATCTAATTTTTTTATTTGGATCCATTTTTGGTTTTATCGTTTCGATTTTATCAAATTTAAATTACAATTAATTCTTAATAAAAATATTATATAAACAATAAAATTAGAGAAATTTGTGTATTTTATTTTATTTTAAATCAAAATTAATTTGAATCATGGAAATATGATTTACTTTAAAATATCTTAAAACAAAATATCATTATCTATTAGCATATTGTATTTATTACTTTTATTGCTATAATTAATATATTTAATTTGTCTTTAACATTTTTATACCGTTGATTACGGTAAAACACGTTTACTAAATGTTTCGGATAAAATTATTTATATTGATTTTTACTTTATAACAAATAAATTTACCTAAAACAAATGAGACCCAGTTGTAGTTTCTTTATGATATTATAAAATGTTTAAAAATCAAATTATAAATTTTTACGCAAATGCAATCACATATAAACATGAGAAAACACATTATTATATTTTTAAGAATCCATTTGAGGTAAGATAAAGAAAATGTGAGAAAAAAAGTGAAAAATATAAAAAAAAAGTGATATAAAAACGAATGGAATGGGCATTTTAAAAAAATAATAAATAAAAAAGTTAAAAATAAATGTTTGTGGAATTCAAAATTATATATTTAACTATTAATTAATTTTGTATTAATAAAATAGTTTTTTAAATTAACATATATAATACGATTTCAAAATTTTTCCATAGTATATAAATTTGATATATAATAATAATAATAATAATAATAATAATAATAATTTTTATCATAAAATTACATATTTTTAAAAATATTTAAATTTAAAATAATATCATTAAAAAATACAAAATATATTAAATTATCCATTTAGTTTTTATAATAATTTTTTTTTATCTATCACAAATTATTAAATTAATATAAATAAAAGTTAGGTATAAGTTAAAAACATATATGCGAGAATAAATAACTATTTTATTGAAGAGAGAATAATTTTGTAAAATACATTTATCATGTACTTTTTCACTCCTTTTCCTTTGTATATATGAGTGAAAAGTAAAATACATGGTCACAAAGAAAAGTGACATTTTTATTTGTCATTTTTCTTATTACCGAACAAGATAAATAATTTCTGATCATTTTCCTTCTTTAATCATTTTCCACTCTTCAACTTTTCCTGCAAATAAACAAACCCTAACTAATTGTTGGAAATTTAAGTTTTCAATAAAAATTGTATAAATATAAAAGTATTTAAAATTATACTTTAATCATCTTCAACGTGAAAAAGGTACAAATTAAAGCAGAAATCATGAATTAAGTGAAACGAGAAAGAAACAGTGCGAAAAAATTTGAAAAACATGGAATGAACCTGATAAAGAAGTACAAGAAAAAGAAAAAAAATATGGTGAATAGATACACGAAGAACTCGATTAGGTTATGCATATGAGCATTTACAAAAAATACTGAGTTCATTCAATATTCTTATACTGAAAAATACAATTTTCCTACCTTCATTCTATTATCTTCATCTTTAGTAATGTGTCATTGCTTATTTTTTGAAACTTCTTTTGATAATTTTGCTATTGAGGTTCACTTTTGTCACATACTTTACTTTTTGAGCATTTCATTCGACCTTAAACTTTGCCCCTCAAAAACACAACAATCATAAATAAGTAAAGACTTATAATCGGGTTAGATAAGATATATAATATTAATTATACCCTTTTTTTTGTCTAATGAGCGTAAACTATGGGTTAGATATGTAAATGGATTTGTAATGTAAAAATTATTGATGATTTGGGATTTTAAGAAAAAAAGTTATGCATGAGTAATAGAATGCCTCGATGAAGAAGAGTACGTTCTTTTATGTGTACAAAAATTCTAAGCAAAAATGAAAATGGTACCTTCAAATAACCAATAGGAATTATTGTTTCTCTGCGTTTGCATTGCCGCCTCCAGTTTTAGATTTCATTTGATCAACAGGAACAAAAATATCATATTCACCTTCTTTTTCTCCTCCCTTTTTCTTCAAATCATCATCAAAGCCACTGTAATCCATTTCCTTCAAAATCGAAGGAATTCGCATACCATCTTTGCCATACATTGTTCCCATTTCCATGTCAAATTTATGTTTTGAGCTTATGAAACCTCTTTCAAGATCTGAAGTATATGACTCATCTGGAATCTCATCCTCAACCACAACCCATTCTCTGAAGTTTACCAGTTTTTTTGGGATCCTTGCACACGAAAGTTCTTTGAAGTTTGCTAATATTCCTTTTGTGTATGGATTTTCCTTCTTATCGTATCGGTACCGAAAATTTTCATAGGTTGTCTGTAACAAAAGACATTATAAAATAGGAGTTTACAATACTAAAAGCATGGGATGATAACACACATAAAGATTAAGGCACATTTGCTCTAAACATTAAACATGAACCCTACCCTTTGTAAAAGAATACACCAAGAATTTCTCTTTTAAAAGATTAAACTCTAGCTTCATTTTCATATCTTCGCAACATTTTATAAGGAAGGAGCAAGAACGTATGATAATAGGATACGTTCTTATTATCCAATGTAGTTGATCTCCTTGGACTTTTTCTTTGATTATTTTAAGTATAAAAATTTCAAGGAATAATGTAGATGTGAGTGGACAACCTCTAATCAAGGAGTTGAATGAACTATGAATAAAAGTTATTGAAATTTTTTATTCTTCTTTGAAAGAAAGGTTTAGCATGTGAGTCTCATGTAGAGAGAATCAAAGGGTTTCTTGGGCTGTAATTTATTTGGGTGGAATTATTATACTGATTATGTTAGTACAATTTGTAATTTTGATGTTTCATCTTGGGTCATAGATGATTTTGGATTGATGAAAATGAACATTCATGTCATAATTGAAGATAGAATGCATTAAAGTCATTGTTTAATTTTGAAGAAACTTTATCAAATGAGTGTAATATTTGAAAGCAACTTTGAGTCAAAGTAGTAAAGGAAAACAAAATCTTGAGAACGAAAAGTCAAAGCAAAGGAAATAGAAGAGCAAAAGAATAATTTTTAAAACCATATATTGATCTTATGAATATTGAGAAGATTAATTATGATAATATGCTATATATTGCTCAAAGATAAAAGAAAAGTTAAAATATCATCTTTAAGTTTGTGAGTATCAATATAAAATAAGATCTTTTACTAGATGAAAATGGAAAATACATTTTTTTATGTTTAAAAATGACAAGAAAATAAAGAAAGATATTTTTCACTACATTAAATAATATAATGATGTCATCATATGATTATTCAAGTAACATATTCAGTCTAATTGATGACCAGAACTCAAGAATATAAAGTTGTGATTATTATATTCTCATGTAACATTTATTTTTATTAGTTATACTTAATATTTTAGCTAATAATATGACTATAATGTTCTTAGAAGTTTGCTATTTTTTAAAGTTATATTGTAAAAGATTAAGTGTCTCATATTTTGATAAGCTATACTATTATATCGTGTTCTCTAAAAATATTATTTTACTCATCACTCTTTACAATAATGATTCATTTAACGTGTTATGTTGTTGAAGAAGTAAAATTAGGAGGACTGATGAGTTCAATATATCCTATAGATGGAACTAAACTTTGTTATGCTTTAACTCATTTTTCTAAGCAAAAATCTATTAATTAAATTGTTGTTTTCTTTTGTAATAGAATGTTAGGACATCTTAAGTCCATTGTACAAAATAGAGTATAACTATAAATGTTTATTTGGTTGAGATTCTTAATTTTTACTCATTATATAAAAAAGTTAAGTCAAGGTTTAATAAAAGTTTAATTAGGTTATACTAATGAGAACATCATTAAATTTAACTCTTGCCCATCAAAGAAGACACACATTTAAAACTCAATTGCTCAAAAGTTCATCTACATGTTAAACAAAAGCTTTTTCACGTAAAAACAATACAATATTCTTTATTTTGTAGTAAATTCAAAACATTCACTAGAAAAAGATCCTAAATAAAAACTTTTATATAAGTTAGAAAAGATAGTTAATAAATAATTCACAAATTGGTTTCTTCATCATCTAAGTTTTACAAATAATTTCATATGAAAATTATAATTTACTTTAATGGCTAACATGATTTTTTAATTAGATTACAAAACCAGAAAATACATCTATTGTGTTAAAGAACATAATGTGTTTAGAAAATGGTTTGATGCTAACTACAAGAAGATTTAGTGAATATAATATCTAAGGGGTGTCAAAATAGGTATAATTTAATAGGTCGACCCAAAAAGTTTGGGAAAAATGTGTATGACTAAACTAAAAGAATTGTACCCTCAATTAAAAGTGGTATAAATAGACTTAGTTTGATTTGGTCCATAAACATACGTGACAATCCATTTCATAAATAATAATTAATGGGTCAATGACCTAACCTCAGGTCAAAAGTTATAATTCATTTCAAAATAAGAGTTAAGTTGAACTATCAATTTCTTTTTACTCGGCTAATAAGGCAAACCAACTTGGGTAATATTGTCTATTTTAAAATTCATAAACATCAATGGGTACAAGTTAGAATTATAGGATAAGAGAAATGTTTAAAAACTCAAAATGAAGTTTTTCTAACATCAAATGATGTTGATGGAAATATGGGACAAGCATATTTGTCATGGGAAGTTGGTAAAAAAGATTAAGCTTAACTATAACAATTTTCTAAAAGTTGTTCTATTTTAGGTGCCAGTAGATAAATACTATACATCCTAGAGGATTTAGAAAGAATATTTGACAATTTACTTTAGTGAACTTTTATTAGTACATTCACATCTAGGTAAACATGAAGAACATAATTCTTATGTTGAAATTTCACATGCATCAATGATGTAAGAGGTTAATGATGAAGTAAATAAAAGTTAGAGTGTTCTTTGTCATATAATATTAAGTGATTTATATGATATTGAAAACTTAAAAAATATATTACATTTAAAATTGAATCATGTCGTAAACACTACAAGAAATAACTTATTTATTTGTGAAAAGAAAGTTTTAATTTTTTATTTTTAATAATCCAATGTAGCCCTAGCATGCATCCACCATCAAGATGCACTATCCACCACACCTTACCCTCTTAACCCAACATGGAATTATCACTAACACACCACACCTCATAATCGCATATAACTACTAATATCAAATATCCATGTTCTTGTCCATTTTTCACTTAATAGAAAACCCACAATACTCTTTTGTTATATGTTTTCCTCATTAGTCTGGTGGCTTTGAATAAGAATAAGAGTGAGAAAAAAAGGAGGAAAGTCCAAATTTTTCTTCTATTTTGTTTTCTTTGAGAAGGTAATGCCTTCTTTCTCTGTTTTTAGATTTCAAAATTCTTTACCCTAAATGTAAATACATATTTAAAAAAAGTTGAAGTTGAAGTGTGTTTTCAGGTGGTTGGAACCTTTTTTCATACAAATTTGATATCTTTTTAAAAATAGTTTTAGTTGATGGTTTGGATTCTTAGATTTTAAAGAGTATAGAAATATTAATTTATGATATTTTTAGTTATGTTTTTTCTTGGGGTTTTTTTCCTATACTCCTTATGTTTCTATATTTTATTTGAAATGATTTCTTTATTATATATTTTCATTTAGTCTCTCCTTATTTTTATAAAAAAATATTTTTTTCTTAACTATTTATATTTTCTTGTTTTGTTTTAATCCTCAAATTACCAATTATAGGTATTTGGTAGGTTTGGTAGGTATTGTAAGATAGATTTTAGAGCTTGATAAGTTTAGTTTTGCTCTTGGAACAAGTGTTAATTTTCCTACAGTTACCAAGTGTTTGAAGAAATGCATGAACGAAATGGAAAAGTTCCTTTTTAGTAATTATGTTGTTAACTGCAAATATTTCTTCTCAATAATGTTTTTATCAGTGCACTAGTAGAGGTTTAACAAGATTTTACTACATCTTTGTTAGTTTTTCTAGGGGTGGTTGGTTATCACACCAATAGTCTTGAAAATAAGTTATTTTTAATTTTTATGTAATAATTAAGATTGTTTCTCACAAACAGCATGTCAATTTATTAACGTAGTTGTATCATTCTTTTTTCTTGTTTGTGTGTCTAACATTCTAAACATATTTTAACATTTTTTTAAGTTAGTTAAGTTTTTTTTTCCAGCTTAGCCAATCTAATTAATTAAGTAAAGTATTTGCTCTAATACTCTAAACTTAGCTTAGTATAACATCAAATACCTATTTCATTTGGAGTAGAAAAATAATATTAAAAATCCTTACTTTCAACCCAAATTTAAATTGACATTACTACATATAACCTATTTTATGAAAGTAAAAAAAATGGATATAATAATAACTTTTTAATCATTATTGCTATAACTATATTTAAAAGTTAAAAAATGAACGATGATTTTAAACTATCATTGTAAGTTACCAATCGATGATTATATTTATAACTAATATTATATGTCAAAATCCTTACTTTGTTACAATAGATATAGAAGTTTCTCCCTCATTATTAATATGTTGCAACAAACCTACTAATTTTCATAATTCCTTCCATGTTGCTCTATCACAACAAATTTAAAATTTGCATTCCTCTCTTGTTATTTCGTTGCAGAAGATTTAAAAGTTTTATTATTTTCTCATTATTATTCATCTAACACAACTTCAACACATCCAACCAAATATTGTTCTTTATCTCATACTCAATAAAATATTACCTTTTATTTTTGTTCTTTTTTATGATTGTTAAGGTTCCAACATAAAACCAATTGGCAATATGTGGAGTAACCTAACATATATTTAAACCATACCAAATGACATGAGGTAGGCAATGTGAGACTTTCAACACGCCCCCTCCAACGAAGTCTGCCGGACTAGGTAAATGACACTTTTGACCCATGACAATAACCGGAAAGATGTTAGGCTTTGACTCTGATATCATGTTAAGGTTCCAACATAAAACCAATTAACAATATATGGAGTAGCCTAACATATATTTAAACCATACCAAATGACATAAGGTAGGCAATGTGAGACTTTCTACAATGATAATTTTGAGTGTGTTGCAGATATTAACAATGGAGGGAAATACTTTGCAAATGAGAGAAAAAAAGGGAGAGGAAGAAGAGAATAGTCGAATTGTGATGGATAAAGGGAAAAGAGGAGAATTTTATCCAAAGAGGAGAAGAGAAAAAAAGAAGAGAAGAAAAAAAAAGATAAATGAGAACATGAAGATCAAATAAATAGAATGAGTGAATTAAAAAATTTGACTAGTCATATTACCATAATTCTACTTATAATCATCGTTTATGTTTAGCATATACAATGATGATTAATCGATATCGTATATCCATCTATTTAAATAAAATAAATAATATAAAAAATAAATGAAACATATATATATATATATATATATATATATATATATATATATATATATATATATATATATATATATATATATATATATATATATATATATACACAAATCAAATCAAATAAAATAAATCAAGTCTACCCCACGTAAACTTGTAAGACTCTTAAATTTAAAAGATATCAAATTACTCAGGAATAAGCTTAATTACCTCAATTGGAGGATTAACCAACCTATTGATTCAAGAATTAGAATTAAGCTTGGAATCGTATATGTTGCAAGCATCAAACAATAGAACCCACGGCACAAGCTTTCAAAGTTAAAAAATTTAACGTGCAATGATCCAAAATAAAGTAAAAACATAAGTGGGGTAATGAGTAACGCTTGTTTGAGCATTTGTGCGAACTGAGGTAATATCCACAACATGTTCAATGTATGAAACATTGCACAAATTACCAACGTCGTTTTTTGCTTTCTTAGTGTGATTTTGCGGGTGAAAAAACTGGATTGGAAGCAAGAATTTTCAATGTTATCTTTCCAAACCATATGAAATAGGTATCTACTACTGGACTAATATAAGTTTAGAATATTAGAGCAAGCACTTTTCTTATTTAGTTAGATTGACTAAGGTAAAAATACTATTAGTTAACTAAAAAAATGTGGAAACTAGCAGGTAATGCATCTTATTTTTTTTATAATTGGAATATAATTCAATGGTGATAATTTCATTTATTTGAATACAATTTATATGATATCGTATACATATTAAAATTTCGAACATGAGGATTTTATTTGAATTTTCATAGGAGTGGACAACATGTAGCAGCACCACACAGAGAATCTTCATTAGCTAGTACTCCTAACATTGTTTGACATGTTATGCTGTTTACATATGGAACTATATTTTAATATACTATATATAGTTAGTTGCAACATTTATATACTTGGTATATTTGACTTTATATGCAAATTGATTTCGGTGGTTAATATGATTTCAAGTATCGTAGGAGTTGAACTCAAATGCTAGTTTCATGTTTTGGGTTTCAGATATTGTAATGTGAAAAGTTTGTAGCACAAATTCTAGCAACTATTTAAAATCTGCCAAAACTAGTTTTTGGCATTTGGAAGTGGCAGCTATTTTAGCTGCCAGAAAAGACATTTGTGACAGTTTTAGCTGCCAAATATTACATTTTAAACCTCCACAGTCACAATTTTATGTAGTATCACATTATACTAATAAAAAAAATGATATGGTAAAGTAGTCAAATCTTATTAGATGTCCAAGTAAAAATAATAGTGTATATAAAATAAACTAAATAACCAATTCTAAAATGATCACGAATACACACAGTATAGGAGGCCATTAAATCAATGTTGCAATTATTAATGTCCAACTGTAGCTGACAGAAGCAAATAATATAAAGCATTAGAAAAAGCAACGGATACCTGGTTGGTGGAAATCAAATAGAGATGAAAAACTGTTAGCCCTCCCACGAACCAAACAGCTATGAAGCAATATACGATGAGAGTAACTGATAGGATATCACGTGACATGTTGTCCCACACTCCACCCTTTTGTCGAAGAAGGTTAACCCAAGAAAATGCAAACACGTATATACACAACAAGGTTGATGTTGATATGAACATAATAAAGAATGGGTAGTTACGCTGAAAAACATGAACAAAAGGAACAAAGTTAGGTTCAAGGGAAAAAAGAGGGAAAAAAAAAACAGATAAATAGACTATAAAGTTCATTATATTGTGTAAATGGGTTCAATAATTGGACAAATAGTATGTAACATATAATAAGAAGATGAAAAAGAAAATAAGAAAAATCTTATTTCAATACCATATTGCAGATAAGTAGGACAACTTACTGATCCAATGCACTGACCAACCCAAGGGCAATGATGATCAAACTTTTGCACACAATTATTGCAGATAGAGCAATGAGAAGCACGTGGTGGACGATAGAGCAAACAAGTGTCGCAGAATTTCACCTTCACTGTGTGACCATTGACTATCACATCTTTTACTCTAGGCAACTTCAAATTAGGGGCCCTATTGTTTACCCATTCCATGGATGATACGTTTATGTCTAATGGTTCATCTAATTCAGGCGGTTGTGCATTTCTGGGGATAATTCCTGGATCTCTACCGGATGTCATGAATAGAAAAAGAAAATCCTGTTGCAACAGTGAAATGTCAAGTTAAACATATCACCCCTATGCCAACTACTCATCATTGATAATGAAACCTTTCAACTTTACCAACCAAAACAGTGAGAACCGCTCCTCCAATTAGTACAGGGTTGCTAAAGTGAGGGTCTTCTTTATTTAGTGATAATAGCATTCTTATTAAGAATAGTATTGCAGGACCTCCAATCAGGAATGATGTTAGAAAAAGAGATGATGCATCCTGACCGAAAACTAATCTTCCACCACAAAGAAATTTCTGACATGAAAAATGTTTATGAAAGATTAGATTATACAACAACATAGTCAAATACCTTATAAATATCATGGCAATATGATCCTCATCCTAAGCATAACTAAACTTTTCAATATACCCTCCCAGAATACATAATGAGTGCTAGGCAAACTTCTATCTACTGCCAAAGAATTTGAACATCTAAATGTTGAACTAATTCCAAGAACAAAATTTAGACCAATATTGCACTTGCATCTACTGATAAATTATCAAATGACATATCTTCATTTCGAGCCTAATAATTCACCCATAAGGCATCATATGTCACCTTAATCCTGCACCATCCACTAACCTCAAAAAAACACAAACAAATCATTGTTTTTCACTCTCTCAATCGATTGCCAAACATATGAATCAGAAGCTACATGAAGCAATAGGGCGAAAGTTCTGATTCTGGTTGAGGAAAAACATGAAGTGACAGAAATAGTAAAAAGGGTTTGAAGGAAGATAAAGCTTACATTATTCCCTTTCCAAACATGGTAGAGCCTTGTTTTGACATTGGGTTCGACAGAGACGGCCGCGGAAGAGGAGCGAGAGACCATACTGTTGCTATTGTTGTTTTGGAGGTAGGAATTGTCGGTGAGCATGGTGGCCTGTGCTGATGTTGTCTCTGTTGCTGGTGCCATGATCACCTTTGTCAGCAAAAATCCAAGTGCATGTGTTGTGCTATGTTGAATTAAGATTTTTGCTTGATGCGTTTATAGTTATTGTCCCTCACCGCGAGATCAATTGGCCGTGGTAGGGGAACAACAAGAAGGGAATTGAGTTTCCCCTCTGAAGTTCCTTCCTTTCTTTCTTACAATCTCATTTTCTCACACCCCTTGGCCTCTCTCTCTCCCCCCCTCTCTCTTCTCCCATGAAACAAGCATTGCTCTAACGATTTTTCAAATTCCACCGCTCTTTTCGCTCCTACCAACTATTTATGGTAACTTTTATCATTACTATATGCTCAGAAATTCCTATGGATATACAAATTTAATCTTATTATAATGTTGAATCATATGCAAAAAGTTATGTGGCAAATAAGCTGTGAAATAATTGCAATAAGCTTAGCTTAAATATACTTGATTAATTAAAGATAAGAATGTGATTAATAATTATATACATTTTAATTACAAAAATATCATCCATATAGAGGTTATAATGTTATTAGCTTTTACTTTAATTTAAAAATAATAAATAGTTTACAAAAATTAATTTTAAAAAACTAATTAAAATAAATTGTAAATTATTTTATTATATTATATGTACAAGACTAGTCTGATAATAAAAATAAAGATTTATTTTTAATATAATTATTAAAATTAGTTAATAATATTAAATTGTAAAAATAAGAATAAGGCTCTACGTCTTTTAATAAATAAAATCTTATATATATATATATATATATATATATATATATATATATATATTCCAGAAAAATACAATTAAGAGATAGTTTAGGGAGTTTGATCAAGTAGGTCTTAGTTAGGAACAAGGAACACTTTGAAATTTACGAAATCAAACCGTATTGAAGGTTGGTAAATGTGGGAGGTCAATATGTGAATACACTTTCATAGCTAAATTAAATCAGTATGATAATAAATTGATAATGAATATTAGCACGTGACTAAAATAATACATTAATGTTACTTATAAGTCTCCTATCAATATTATTTTAAGAAATTATTTAAGTTCGTTTAATGTTAATTATTGTATTTTAATGCAATATTATGTATAACCAAATTATGATGTATATTTATTGTGTATTATTAATATAATATGTATTTAAAATAATTAATTGAGGGAATATTCTCAATGTAGTAGTGTAATAAATACGAAAATAGAGGTACATCTTCTGAGCTCAAAATCTAAATATGATATAGACAAAATGTGTTTAAATATGATATAGACAAAATATTAAACTTTAAATATCGGAGATTTTTCGAGCTTGTCGAGCTAGTGCATGTGTATGTATATTGTTGTTTTACTATTTGGGTTTAAACCAGTCTTTTCAACTTCTAATATGTATTATAATTGTTTTTAACAAGCATTAATGGAGATTTTTCAAATGGTTTTAATGATTAGTGTGTTGTCGTACCATTATTACCTTAAAAGTCGTTTCCAAGATTAGGTAAACTTTTTTGGATAATTTGTATTCAGTATGTCATTCAAACTTTCTTTTTTGGCTCCTAAATGATAACTATAATTGTTGTAGTGACTCCCCTAAACGTCATGGGCCAAAAACTCAAAAAGTAAATATTAGGGTTGATTTGAGTTTCATTAGGGACAATCAGATGATACAGTTTACTTCAATCTTAAATCTCGATTATAGTTAGGTACTCAATGAGGTGGATCATTTTTCTTCTAACTTCACTACTATATCCTCCGTGGAGGATATCTGTAAAGTGCATGGTATATGCTTGGATTAAGATACAAATCTAATCACAATTAACCTTATCTCTCCTTCTAATAGATTATATATGAAACTTGCTCTTAAATCCCATGACTTTACTTTAATATATGAGTGTCTATTTAAAGACTTAAATATTTCTTGTTCTATTTACCAATTTTGAATGTGATATGATATCTATCTTGTGTTGCTCTGACTCAACTACATCTCAATAATTAAGCTTTTTTGAAGGATTTTTAAATTTTGTGTGATATTCTAAATTTGTCTCTTAGTGTAAATAAGTTTATGCTTTTTTATCGATTGAAACACAATCAAGAAATTGGTTAAGTATCCCTTAATGGATCTAAACATGGTGATTTGTTTACTATGTTCTTCTCTTCTTTCAGACATTTTAAATCTTATTTCTTTAAAATAAATGTTTTTAGGACAAATCATCTCAAAGATTTTTCTTCAATTCTAATGGTACGTCTCACTTCCGTTTATATTGGCGGGTTCCTCATAAGTTTAAATCTTGGGTTAAGTACTTATTATCTCCTGAGAATAAAGTAAATATAAAAATTATGTCAAGTCTTTTTCATCCAATCAATTGTTGAGATTTGTTATCTATTCCTAAGTAAGACATTTAATTTGTATCTTTATAGAAATTATCTATTTACTTTTTTGACTAACTTGTGATTTTCTTTTGTAGAAATTATGGAACCCAAATTTGATTATAGGAAAGTTTAGACTAAGTTCGGTGGAGGATTTACTATCCGGGCTGCCAAGGAAGGGAATGTCTGGGCTCTGAAACTGAAAAGATTGAAGTTGGTGAATGTTTGGGCTTCTACTTGTTCATTTTTTGAGGATGTTCCACTTATGTTACTTGATGTTTTACAATTAATCCTTCTAAAAATTGTTCTAAACTTTTATTAGTGAATTGTCTTTCATTGTCTATTATTATTGTATGTGGGATTCCATGTTTTTATATAATATTCTTCCACATAATCTTTTGCACTTGATGATTCGTGATAACGACTAAAGGTTCAACTCCAATCCATCAAGTGAAATGACCAATTGCAATGATAACAATTTCATTTCTCCTTTTGCTATAGGAAATGTGTTGAGTATGCCAATGCCTCATTTAACGAATGGTTAGGCTAACAATATACCATGTAATTCTTCAAGATGTCCCTTAAATTAAGGGCCAAATTTTTAACATGCTTGAAATTTCTTTACAAACTCTTATGCATCTTTTTTTCAAGGTCATGCAATAATGTTCGACTTGAAATACCTGAGCTATCATACTTCTAACTCTTGAACAAACTCCATTTATTATATACTCAATTTGATCTTAATCTAGGCATTTTAGCATAGGACTCGGGAATCCTCTTTTAAATAATTTTTCGTTATGTAAGATAAAATGTCATAGATCTTCTCATTTTTTGAGCTTCATCCGAGTTACTTTGAGGGATTTCATTCTTTAAATAATGTGTAATAAGTGTCATCCATATAGGCTTGACAGGATCAATGTGAAATACATCATTGTGACCTCAACTTGATGCTCTTAATGTTTTTTGTTTTAATGTTTTTGTGCTAGCTTTGAGAGAATATCAACTTCATCGTTTTGTTCTCTAGGTATATATGTTCTATTTCAAATTGATCAAAACTGTTTACCAAATTTATGGCCATATGATAATATTTTTGTATAGAAGGCTCTTTGACGTAGAATTCTCCACTGATTTGTTCCATTATTAGCTTGGGATCACTTCTGTAACGAAGTTGTTTTATTCATTTCTTTTACAAGTTTTAGACTAGTTATCAGTGCTCCATACTTAACCTGATGATTGTATGCTTGGAATTCGAACTTGAGAGCTTGTTCTAGTATGATATCGTTAGGTGTTAATATTTTCGCTCATCAATCTGTCGTTTTTGTTTCTCAGTATTCCTTATTTATCCACTGGGTCGGTCTGGTTGGTTCTTTGCTCCTAGTTTTGGTGTAGCAGCTATATTTCGATTCATCCTATTTTTCCAAGGATTTCATAATTGGACATTAAATCCATTTCATATGATGGGAGTTGCTTGGTGTATTGGGCGCTGCACTATTATGCGCTATTCATGGTGCCACCAGTAGAAAATACTTTATTTGAAGATGGTGATGGCGCAAATACATTCCGTGCTTTTAACCCAACCCAAGTCGAAGAAACTTATTCAATGGTTACTGCTAATCGCTTTTGGTCCCAAATCTTTGGGGTTGCTTTTTCCAATAAACGTTGGTTACATTTCTTTATGTTATTTGTACCAGTAACTGGTTTATGGATGAGTGCTCTTGGGGTAGTCGGTTTGGCCCTGAACCTACGTGCCTATGACTTCGTTTCTCAAGAAATCCGCGCAGCGGAAGATCCTGAATTTGAGACTTTCTACACCAAAAATATTCTCTTAAACGAAGGTATTCGTGCGTGGATGGCAGCTCAAGATCAGCCTCATGAAAACCTTATATTCCCTGAGGAGGTTCTACCACGTGGAAACGCTCTTTAACGCAACTTTAGCTTTAACAGGTCGTGACCAGGAAACTACCGGTTTCGCTTGGTGGGCCGGGAATGCCCGACTTATCAATTTATCCGGTAAACTATTAGGGGCCCATGTAGCTCATGCTGGATTAATAGTATTCTGGGCCGGAGCAATGAACCTTTTTGAAGTGGCTCATTTCGTACCCGAGAAGCCCATGTATGAACAAGGTTTAATTTTGCTTCCCCATCTAGCTACTCTAGGTTGGGGGGTAGGTCCTGGGGGGGAAGTTATAGACACCTTTCCATACTTTGTGTCTGGAGTACTTCACTTAATTTCCTCTGCAGTATTGGGCTTTGGCGGTATTTATCATGCACTTCTGGGACCTGAGACTCTCGAAGAATCTTTTCCGTTCTTTGGTTATGTATGGAAAGATAGAAATAAAATGACTACAATTTTGGGTATTCACTTAATCTTGTTAGGTATAGGTTCTTTTCTTCTAGTATTCAAGGCTCTTTATTTTGGAGGTATATATGATACATGGGCTCCGGGGGGAGGAGATGTAAGAAAAATAACCAATTTTACCCTCAGTCCAAGTATTCTATTTGGATATTTATTAAAATCACCTTTTGGGGGCGAGGGGTGGATTGTTAGTGTGGACGATTTGGAAGATATAATTGGAGGGCATGTATGGTTGGGTTCCATTTGTATACTTGGTGGAATCTGGCATATCTTAACCAAACCCTTTGCATGGGCTCGGCGTGCACTTGTATGGTCTGGAGAAGCTTACTTATCTTATAGTTTAGGTGCTTTATCTGTTTTTGGTTTTATTGCTTGTTGCTTTGTCTGGTTTAATAATACCGCTTATCCTAGTGAGTTTTATGGGCCCACTGGTCCAGAAGCTTCTCAAGCTCAAGCATTTACTTTTCTAGTTAGAGACCAACGTCTTGGAGCTAATGTAGGATCTGCTCAAGGACCTACAGGTTTAGGTAAATATCTAATGCGTTCCCCGACTGGAGAAGTGATTTTTGGGGGAGAAACTATGCGTTTTTGGGATTTGCGTGCTCCTTGGTTAGAACCTCTAAGGGGCCCTAATGGTTTAGACTTGAGTAGACTGAAAAAAGATATACAGCCTTGGCAAGAACGTCGTTCTGCAGAATATATGACCCATGCTCCTTTAGGTTCCTTAAATTCCGTGGGTGGCGTAGCTACAGAGATTAATGCAGTCAATTATGTTTCTCCTAGAAGTTGGTTAGCTACTTCTCATTTTGTTCTAGGATTCTTTCTATTTGTAGGCCATTTATGGCACGCGGGAAGAGCTCGCGCAGCTGCCGCAGGATTTGAAAAAGGAATTGATCGCGATTTTGAACCTGTTCTTTTCATGAATCCTCTTAATTGAGACATGAGATCCAATGAAGTAGAAATTTGATTTTACTAGAAATATTGGGTTGAGTTGAGCGAGTCGTATTACAAAAAGAATTTCTTTTCCTTTTTTCTTAGTTTCTATCAAATCTTTTTTTTCGGACTGGGCTATATCATCCCGAAAAAAAAAGATTCGATAGAAACTAAGAAAATAAACAAATCTATTCACCGAGAAAGAGGAGAGAGAGGGATTCGAACCCTCGATAGTTCTTTGTTTCAAACTATACCGGTTTTCAAGACCGGGGCTATCAACCACTCAGCCATCTCTCCAAAAGCTAATTTATATCTATTTTATCTTTATTCCACTGAATAGACCATGAACATATGAATTGATGCCCTTTCTATTCTCTATCCATAGGAAACATATTCAATATGAATCTATTTTTTTAGTTTTCTATCGGTATGTATATACGTGCAAAATCCAGCATGCCTTTTTGTGAAGTAAAAAAAAACGATCCTCGATCCAAGCCTCAAAAGAGTTGATAAAAAATCATAAAAAATCAATGAATTCATGATAAAACCTTTCTGCGTTTTTACAAATTTTTTTTGTCAATAAAGGGATCAAAGGGTTGGGGGATCAAATGGTAAAGTTCTTTTGTTGGTAAATTGGAGGATTAGAAACATGACTATTGCTTTCCAATTAGCTGTTTTTGCATTAATTGCTATTTCATTTATTTTATTGATTAGTGTACCTGTTGTATTTGCTTCTCCTGAAGGTTGGTCAAATAAAAAAAATGTTCTATTTTCCGGTACATCATTATGGATTGGATTAGTGTTTCTAGTGGGTATTCTTAATTCTCTCATTTCTTGACGTTCTTTTTATTCTAGATTAAAAACGAAATGATCCCTCCCTCATAATTCTTTCGGATTGTCAAGCATATAAAAAAGGGAATGGGTCAGTTCCTAAAAAAAAACTATAACACATTACATTAGAAGGGGCGAGTTCTTCTATTGGAAAAATCTTATATCTTATACTTATATGGTGGTACATTGTGAAACTAAAAGAGATAAAATAGAAAAAATGAAATATAAAAATTTGAATTTCATTTGAATATTCTATTCATATTCATTTGAATAGAATATTCAAATGAAATACTATAAATCTATTTATACGTCGTCTAGTAATTAATATAAAAAATATAGAATATCTATCTGTATATCTATATAGATAGATTTAATTTTTTATTAATTTTTATTTACTTTTTTCTTAAAAAAGTAAATAAAAATATTCGTAAGAATTTAAATTCAATTATATAGATACATAGAAAAAAAGAATATATAATAATATAAATAGGAATTATTGATAAAAATAAATAGTAATCTAAAATCATTTATTTGGAAGACAATATCTATTATATACATTTCTTTTGAATTATCCCTAATAGAATATCAGACCCATCTCTGTACAACTAGAATCGCATATCAAGTACAAAGAAAATGCGGATATAGTCGAATGGTAAAATTTCTCTTTGCCAAGGAGAAGACGCGGGTTCGATTCCCGCTATCCGCCCAATGTATTGAATACTCATAATATGAAAAATGCTATAGAATTGACTGTGTATAATGCCCCTCTTGAACCCTTGTTTTTATCAAATTCAAAATGTTGCGGAGACGGGATTTGAACCCGTAACCTCAAGGTTATGAGCCTTGCGAGCTACCAAGTTGCTCTACTCCGCGATAAAGAAAAGAATTCATAACTAATGAACAAAAACAAAGATTTAAAGCGTCCCTTTACCATATCTATACAAATAGAATAAACCATTTATACATAACGGTAAAGGGACCCTCCTATGATCGCTGATAATAAAATGAAAAAAAAATGAAGATAATTTGGGAATCCTTACCAACTGGATCTTGTTGCACCGGGCAAGAAACATGCATGAACCATTTCCCGAAGTATGTGTCCAGATAATCCAAAGTCTCGATAATTAGCTCTCGATCTTCCGGTCGAAAAACAACGTCGATGAAGACGTATAGGTGCACTATTACGCGGTAGTGATTCTAATTTTCCATGAATTTCCCATTTATCACTTAACGACGGAACTTTGCTTATTTCTTTTTTTGAGGATCGACGAATCAAATGATATTTCTGTTCCAATTTTTGTCTCTTCTTCTCCCTCTGAATCACACTTTTCCTTGCCATAATGTTTCATTTCCTATTAGTATCAATGATAGAAATCGGATCTGAGATGTATAAATGGCTTCTCTTCCCTATAGAAGGAAATGATATTCTTGCCATATATATATAATAATAAAGAATTAACCGAATTTGCCCGATGTAGAGGCAATTAAGAAGGCTGCATAAGTAAATATATAACCTACGGAAAAGTGGGCTAGTCCAACCAATCTTGCTTGCACAATGGAAAGAGCCACTGGTTTATCTCTCCATCGAATCAAATTAGCCAAAGGTGTACGTTCATGAGCCCATGCTAAAGTTTCAATCAATTCCTGCCAATATCCGCGCCAGGAAATTAAGAACATAAATCCAGTAGCCCAAACAAGATGTCCAAACAAGAACATCCATGCCCAGACTGATAAACTATTCATACCAAAAGGGTTATATCCATTGATAAGTTGTGAAGAGTTCAACCATAGATAATCTCTTAACCATCCCATCAAATAAGTAGAAGATTCATTAAACTGTGAAAGATTACCCTGCCATAGTGTAATGTGTTTCCAATGCCAATAAAAAGTAACCCATCCAATGGTATTTAACATCCAGAAAACTGCCAAATAAAATGCGTCCCAAGCGGAAATATCACAAGTTCCACCTCGTCCCGGGCCATCACAAGGAAAACTATAACCAAAATCTTTTTTATCAGGCATTAACTTAGAACCACGCGCATCCAAAGCACCTTTGACTAAGATCAATGTAGTTGTATGTAAACCAAGAGCAATAGCATGATGAACCAAGAAGTCTCCGGGCCCTATTGTTAAGAATAGAGAATTACTATTTTCATTTACAGCGTTTAACCAACCAGGCAACCATATGCTTCGTCCCGCATTGAACGCCGGATCTGTTGGTTGAAGATAAAAGTATATCGAACCCATAGGAAGTTTTACCATGAGCAGATTGTATCCATTGGGCAAATATAGGTTCAATCAAGATTTGTTTCTCCGGAGTACCAAAAGCAAGCATGACATCGTTATGGACATAAAGTCCCGAGTATGGAACCCCGGAAAGAGGCTAGCCCAACTTAAGTGGGAAATGATAGCTTCTTTATGGTCTAACATTCTTGCCAAGACATTATCTTGATTACTGCTCTGGATTATAATCTCTAATAAAAAAGATAGCTCCATGAGCAAAAGCCCCTGTCATAATGAAGCCTGCTATATATTGATGATGAGTATATAACGCAGCTTGAGTAGTAAAATCTTGTGCTATAAACGCATAAGCGGGTAAAGAGTACATGTGTTGTGCTACCAAAGAAGTAATAACCCCTAAAGAGGCTAGAGCAAGACCTAATTGAAAATGAATTGAATTATTGATTGTGTCATAAAGACCCTTATGTCCACGCCCCAATCTACCCCCCGGAGGAGTATGTGCTTCTAAAAGATCTTTTATACTGTGACCAATCCCGAAGTTAGTTCTATACATATGGCCAGCAACTAGAAAAAGAAATGCAATAGCCAAATGATGGTGTGCAATATCAGTCAACCATAAACTTTGAGTTTGTGGATGAAATCCCCGAGAAGTGTTAGAATAGCAGTTCCTGCTCCTTGAGGGGTACCAAAGATATGATTATTGGAATCGGGATTTTGAGCATAAAGATTCCACCGACCTGTAAAAAATGGACCTAATCCTTACGGGTGCGGCAATATACCTAATAAATTATTCCATCGAACGTATTCCCCCTGGACCCCGGAATAGCGACATGGACTAAATGCCCTGTCCAAGCCAAGGAACTTACTCCGAATAGTCCGACAAATGATGATTGAGGCGGGATTCGGCATTTTTAAACCACGAAACACTTGGTTTCCATTTTGGTTGCAGGTGTAACCAACCCGCTATTAAAGATATAGTAGAAAGAATCAATAGAAAAATAGCTCCAGTATAAAGATCCCCATTAGTACGTAAACCGATTGTATACCACCACTGATAAACACCAGAATAGGCTATATTAACAGGGCCTAGAGCACCTCCTCGGGTAAAAGCTTCTACAGCAGGTTGACCAAAATGAGGATCCCAAATTGCATGAGCAATAGGTCTTACATGTAAAGGATCCTGTACCCATGTCTCAAAATTCCCTTGCCAAGCTACATGAAACAGATTCCCGGAAGTCCACAGAAAAATTATTGCTAATTGCCCGAAATGAGAAGCAAAAATATT